CCAGACATTCTTGTTCATCAACATCCTTTAGGGTGATAGGTCATATTTTAAAGGTTTTAAAAGCCCATCTTCATTTAAAATTTGAAAACACTTTATCTCCGACTTGACAAACAATTCATTTCACTCTCACGAGTTTATAATGATATAAATAAACACATTAAAGTTGACATAGCTTTCACTCAAATCCAAACTATTACTTACTGATACAAAAGCTCTATAAAAAGCGTAAACATTGCAAGAATTGACGTAAGACAGTAAGAATTTTGTCCAAGGAAGACAAGAAGACAACAAAAATAACCAACAACACACAGCACGTGCGCGAGAACCCGCAGATTCAATAATATTTTATACTGTTCTGCTGGCACGCCGAATTCTTCAAGCTCGAGCATTTGTAGGGGCATTCAGCCCTAACCACACAATCCTCACAGTTGGACACAAGACAACTGAGAAAATAGATATTCACCATTTCACGCGGATAAAAAGCCAACCATGGGGAAGGCGGGAAGAAGGAATCGATTGAGTTCGAGTTAGTCGAATGGCGTGGCTCAGCTTTGCAGGTGTGATCCTACTTATGCAACAGTCTTTCATCTATTTTAAATATATTGTTTATCTCAAGTCCAGACGTGTTTATCATATACTGATGATTGTTACAGTACGAATGAGTCGGGGTAAAATTGATGTGACATCAACGTAAGATCTTATATATTAGATAGTTACACCATGAAAAATCTACAATTTTAGGATTAGGTCTATTATTAGAGAAGTAGTAGATCATAATTCTACCTGTTCACCGATTACAACTTGTGTGATGCTATTTTGAATCACTTCTAAACTTCGGTAAACGCTGGTTACACGCATTACGCCAAATATCCACTTTTATGCCGTTAAGAAACAAAACCCGAAAATAAATAAGCAGAAAATCGAACTAGCTTGGCTATTCACTTCTCAAAACTAGTCATCCAGTACGTTGTAAAACTATCATATAACACCTCAAGTATGTCACTCCCTGATGAATATAGAAATTATGACGTAAACGATACCAACCAGTTTACATCTGCAGTTCCGTTTCTATGACTGAAAAGTGAATTACTAGAACGTTCCACCAGAGTATTAATATCAGCTCCTTCTGTTGATACATTTAAAGCTATAGTATACCTTCACAGTGTAAAGAATTGCAAAGATTAATATAGGTTGATAGACCTTCTATCCTTACCACTGAAGAATAAACACGAGATCAAGAAATTGTGGAAGATTTAAGGTCTATGAGGTTCACCCTAAGGTCCTAATTCAGAACAAAAGAATGAAGAGTAAATTCGTATTCTTTGGCGTCCTCAGCGAAACGTTTGCCTGTAAAATAAAAAGAGAGAGTGGGCAATACGAGTAGCTGAAGCAAGTAACTGGAAATTTGTTAGATACTCGCATTTTATGAGTTCACAGAAAGTTCTGATGTTGCTCAGTTGGAGTCGTCCACAGGAAGCTCACTGCTGACATCGAGTATGACAATCGTATCCTGGAAGGATTATGCCGCTCCAATCTTCTGGGATTTACTCATATCCTGATTCTAGGGGACTTCAGTCTTCTTAAAGACGATTTTGCGGAACATATGTATGTTGGAGGTGGAAACTCTACTGAATCTCTGTTCTTCGACCTCATTGAGAATCTGGGGTTATTCAAAAATGTGTAGTTGGCAACTCTTTGGAGAAACAATCACGCTTAGACTATGTATTAACAGACGAATAATTCCCAAATAACAACCTCTCAATCCTGGTACACCTGGGGAGAAGAAATCGCGCCGTCATAGGATTTAGTTTTATAAGCAAAACTGAGCTAAGACATCCCACCAAGAACAGGCGCTGGATTTTCAAATTGTTGAACATGTCAGCTTAACAGGACAATTTGCAATAGTTGGATTGAGAAATTCGCCCTCAACTTGATGTGGATGCTCATCAGGATTTCTTACTGCACACGGGCTTATGTGCTTCAAAGCAGCCTGTTCTTCAAATGGTTCTTAAAATCTACAAAAACGACACTTCTCATGGTTTGGATGTGGTTCATTCTTCTATACTGAGGGAAGCAGCTTCAATCCTGGTAACACCTCTTGGCGTGATGTTCTCACATTTGCTAAGCCGATGCACATTGCCGGAAAGTTGGAAGATGGCTCACATCACAACAATCTTAAAAGGAGCTCAACTCAGAGAACCTTTCAGCTACCGACTGGCGGTTCTTCAAAAATTATGCAGTCCATGATATGCGACAGCATAAACGACAATTTATTATTATTAAACTTCGTTATCACCTCAACAACGTGGTTTCAGAAAGCGTCATTCTTGTATAAGCAGCCCGTTGACTGCAGTGGACAAATGGACAACCATCCTCGACCACAAGGAAAAGTTTGACACCATTTGACATGACTACTCAAAACCTTTTGATAGGCCCAACCAAAAATGTCTTATCAATAGGCTCAAACGATTAGGAATGAAGTCACCTTGAATTGATTGGCTCACTTCATATCTAAAAAATCGACATTGTATGGCCAGGGTTAGCTTCAACATCTGTCAGAATATGGAATGTCCTGGTGAAGTCCACGAGGTTTCAGTACTGGAAACTATTCTTTTCTTGGGTTATATAAACGATCTTCCACAAGAGGTATCGACATACTCACTAGATTTTGCTGGTCATGGGAAACTTTGGAGAGATATGCAACCAAGAAGATATGCCCTCACTTCTGGAAGGCCTGACTCGACTTCAAAGTTGAGCAGATGACAATGGACTCACCTTTAACACTTTGAAGTCCATTTGAGACATGTTGCAGACTACAGTTAAAACTTAGGAAACTCCTATCTGGAAGTATACCAAGTTGCAAGAGATTTAGAAGTGCTAGTACCTTAAGATTTGAAGTCCTATGCTAACTGTGACAAAAATACCTTTCGAGCAAACCTTGCACTGGTAACATTGAAGCGCAATTTTGGCCAGTTTGACGGAAGACGTTTCCACATAATCTTCAACAGTGTCATTCGTCTTCATTTAGAGCAGGGAAACAGTATTTCCTCCCTCACTCTGGAAGATGTCCAGCGTCGAGCCACGAAATCAGTTTGGTGACCTTCTTTTGGCTTACAGCATTCTTAACACATGAACATCCCTTTAGGTTTGGCCCCAACACAAACCTAATGGTTAACACCCAGAAACTAGAGACACGACATAGCACAGCGGACTGTAGTCACAAACTCTACTCCTTAAGATTTGTAAAATGCTGGAATTCGCCGCTGTCTGAGCTACTTCAAGTGACTTCCCAGGAGCTCTTTAAGAGGAATCTTGAATTATTCTTAAGGGCTAAGGATTATATCTTACTATGATTTACCAATTACTTTTTCTTCTTTTATCGTTAATATACTTAGGTTCCTGCATCGAGGTGTTGATTATCCATTGTTACTAGTCACGGACGACCGTTAAGCGAAAGCTTCTTCTATTCCATCCGCAACCATTTGAACCAATTTTCAAAGGGGGTCGACGCAATGAACCTTCAAGTTATCGGCCGGTGGCTCTTCTGTCATTACCTTCAAAACTCATGGAGTCCCTGATATGCGATGGTTTAAACGACTATTTACTGTCCTTAAATTTCTTCTCACCCCAACAGCATGGTTTCACGAAGGGTTACTCTTGTATAACCAACCTGCTGACTGCGGTGGACAGATGGACAATCATCCTCGATCGCAAGGGAAAGGTTGATATCATATACCTTGATTTCTCAAAAGCTTTTGATAAAGTTAACCACTTGTGTCTTATCAATAAGCTCAAACGACTAGGTATCAAACCACCTCTAATCGATTGGCTTACTTCAAACCTAGAAAATCGACACTTTAAAGTTACTGTTAATTTCACTTTATCTCAGGCTATGGAATGTCCTGGTGGGGTCCCACAGGGCTCAGTATTAGGGCCTCTTCTCTTCTTGATCTACATAAACGATCTTCCTCAACAGGTAACGTCAGACTTACTACTTTTTGCCGATGACGTGAAACTTTGGAGAGAGATACGCAACCAAGACGATACACAGACACTTCAGGAGGATCTGACTCGACTTCGAAGTTGGGCAGACGATAACGGACTTACCTTTAACACTTCAAAGTGTAAAGTAGTCCATCTGCGACATGTCGCAAACTACAGTTATAACTTAGGAAACTCCTCTCTAGTAGTATCCCAAGTCGAAAAAGATTTAGGAGTCCTGGTGCCCCATGATTTAAAGTCTTACGCTAATTGTGACAAAAATGCCTTCCGAGCAAACCTTGCACTGGTAACATTGAAGCGCATTTTTGGCCAGTTTGACGGGAGAACTTTCCATACGATCTTCAATAGTTTTATCCGTCCCCATTTAGAGTACGGAAATATAGTACTCCCCCCTCACTCCAAAAGGACAAGGTCACTTTGGGGGGTATCCAACGGCGAGCCACGAAATCAGTTCGCGGACTCAAATCTAAGCCTTACGAAGAACGCCTCCATTCACTAGACCTTTACCCATTAGAGTATAGGTGTCTTAGAGGTGATTTATTAATGGCTCATAGTATTCTTAACACTTCTGGACATCCTCTTAAACACCTACTCAAGCTTAGTTCGAATACTAACCTAAGGGGTAACACCCAGAAACTGGAAACTTAACATAGCAAGACGGAATGTAGACACAACTTCTACTCCTTAAGAGTTGTCAAAAGCTGGAATTCGCTGCCGGCCGAGCTAGTCCAAGCGACTTCTCAGGAGTCCTTCAAGAGGCAACTTGATCTATTCTTAAGGACCAAGGACAGTATCATACTATGATTTACCAATTTCTTTTCCTCTTTTGATGTTAACATACCTAGGTTCCTACCTGGAGGATTTGGTGATCCCCTGCTACTAGACACGGAAGCCTGTTAAGCGAAAGCTTCTTCTATTCCGTCCACAACCACTTTGAACCATTTGAACCATTTGGGTAGGGCGGACTATTGAGAGTTCACGTTACAGTTGTGCATCTCCAATTGTAGTCCACGTACTTGTAGTAAGTTATATACGAGTGAGGTCTATAACTTGTCGTTACATAGAATATTATCACCAATGTTTGGTCTTGGCTGTTAATTATTTGTACTTTTGGATTTGTTTTAATCATTTCACAACATCTGTCGTTATATATCGGTCTAAATTGTAATGTATTGCTGCTGTTTTGCAAACCGCATATATAACTTGGATAATTAGCCTCTGGAAGCTTAGTTAACCGAGGAATGGTTATGTTCTTAATCATTCAAAAATGCCAAACGATGTCCTTTTCAAAGACAATCAGGCTAGTTACTCCCTTTGAAGTCATTGTCTCTAGAAACTTAATAGAGAGCGACCTTAATCTGTTGCTAACAGAAAGTCTGGACGCCAGAAACTGTCAGCTCAATGCAACCAAATCATTCGTTACTCTCCACCTCATCTGAAGGCAGGTAAAGGTGCCGACTCGTGGGCTCTCTTGGACTCCATTTATGGCATACATCCTTCCACATCATGAAACACGCAGAATTGTTGCACCCTCTTTCATCATTGAGAAAATGAATCGGCTAAAGTGAGTACGATGGCATGCAGCGACGTTATTTGCAAGTTTAAGTGACAAAAATTGGATTCAGTCTTCAGTAATAAGGATAGTAGGTTGATGAACCTGTGTTAATCCTGACACATTGCTTTCCAGTGAAGGTCCAGCTTTTCCTTGAAAGTATTCACTGATGGGGCTGATACCACTTGTTCGGGTAAGGCGTTCCAATCATTGACTACTCGATGAGAAAAACGGGATCCCACTTTAAGTTTATTAGATCGTGGTTTATAAACCTTCTTGCTATGACCTCGGAGATTATTAGTGCTGGAGGGAGCAAAAGACATATTAACACCCAAATCATAATTAAAGATACGAAATGCCAGTATAAGGTCACCTCGTGTCCTACGATACGACAAGGGGAAAGATTTAGGGGTTTTAAACGCTCATCGTAAGGAAGTCTAGAAAGACCCTTCACTAATTTCGTTCCCACACGCTGGACACGCTCAAGGGAGTTAGTATCCTTTACCAGACACGGGCTAGCTGCTTGGATACAGTACTCTAAATGTGGTCTAACATATATGGGATATAAAATTCTAAACATTTCCTCGTCAAAAGATTTGAACGCTCGGCGAAGTGACCATAACGCACGAAAACCTTTGACAGTGGCTGCTTTGCAATGCTTAGTTGTTTTTAAATCATGACTTAATATTACTCCTAAGTCTTTATGCTCTTGAACGCATGGAAGAGGTTCACCCTCAATAGTGTAACGGTAACTATTACCGTGACCAATGTGCATTAGTACACTCTTCCTAGCATTGATTTCTAAGCCCCACTCTCGAGCCCATCTAACTAAATCGTCTAAGTCAGCTTGAAGATCCACATGATCAGCCGCACTTTTTATTGTTTTCCAGATTTTTACATCATCCGCAAACAATAATGTCGACGACCTAAGTAACAGCGGTAAATCATTAACGTAGAGAAGCAAAAGCAGAGGGCCTAAGATGGTGCCTTGGGGTACACCACTTTTGACCGGCTTCCAATCGGATAGCGTTCCGTTGACCCTAACTCTCTGTCTGCGGCCACATAAGAAATTTCCTATCCACTCATGTACAGTACCTATTATTCCGAAGCTCGTGAGCTTCTGCATAAGACCTACGTGTGAAACCTTGTCAAACGCTTTGCTAAAATCTATGAATATCACGTCGACAGACAGACCGTTATCTAGGGCTGCTGTCCAATCCTCCCTCGCAATAAGCAAGTTAGTCAAGCATGAACGCTTGTTACGAAATCCGTGTTGCTCAGGAGCTAACAAATTGTGTAAATCTATGTGGCTTAGCAACCTAACCCGAATTATCTTTTCGAGTAACTTAACGACTATGCTAGTTAGACTGACAGGCCAGTAGTTAGATACTGTCGCTGACCGTCCTTAAATATAGGACTAACTATAGCGTCCTTCCAATCTCTAGGGAGTTGAGCGAGTGAGAGGGACATGTTGAAGAGTGTCGCAAGCGGTTTTGAAATAATGTCCGCAAGAGATGACAGCAACCGTGGATGTAACCCGTCAGGGCCCGGTATCTTACCAGGTTTGAGGTTAGTTATCAACGGAAGGACAGTTTCCTCAGTCACCTGTACAGATTCAATGGTTGGTATCTCGGTGTGAGTGGGACAAGTATTTGTTACAATAAACGTAGAGAAGACTTCGCTAAAGTAGTCTGAAAAAGTCTCAGCTTTTGCTCGATCTGATTCAGCTAGTAATTTTGAATTGTCGTGTAACAGTAACGGGGGAATACCATCACTACGTTTCATTTGCCGTTTAACATACGAAAACAATCGTTTCGGACAAGTACGGCTATCATATACTAACTGTCGTTCGTAAGTGGTACGGGATTTGGCTATGGTTTTCTTACAGATATTACGGTATTTTTGGTACTCACGCTTAAATGGTGCATGACTTGTCAACAAGAATAAGTCCCAGAAATGTTTCCTACGCTTTAACAACTTCCGGGTTTCCTTATTAATCCATGGAGGGCAATGTGATAGCTTACGTGCTGACCATGGGATAAACGGCGACGTTACGGACTCGAATGTAGCCTTAAACTTATTCCATTCATCTTCGATCAATCCATCCGCGTCGACCGACCAATCAGTCGAGATAGCACAGTTTCTGATTTCCGGAATGTTAGCTCGCCAGATATTGGGACGGGGTGGAGCAGATACGAATTGTATACCATGTATCCTAAACTTAAAGTGAATTACAACGTGATCACTGTTCACTAGTGGAGGAAGGTGCTGGATATCAAGGACATCCTCAGAGTGGTGGGTGAGGGCGAGGTCCAGCAGTGACGGAAGATGTTGCAAATCAATATGTGTCAGTTTTGTGATACATTGTACAAGTGCACACTGAATAACGGTAGATAAAAGGTCGCTATCGAAACCACTACCTGGAGCTGTAAGCTCTATCCAGTTGATATGCGGTGCGTTGAAGTCCCCAATGATGAGACAACATTCTGCCATACTCCAAGAACAGATGTGTCTTAGGATAAAGTCGTCAGCAAGACAAGACGGACTACGGTATATTCCCCCTATAGTCACTAACCCATTTCTAGATTTAATCTTACAACATGCAACCTCACATGTGCCTCCGATATGGTTGGTTGTATACGAAAGTGATCCCTAACGTATAATATTACACCTCCCCCTTTGCGACTTGAAACTCTATCACTTCTGATACAGATATAACCAGCAATGAAAGGAGGACAGTCTATATCAACGGTGAACCAAGTTTCTGTAACAACGATTATATCGGGACATAATTCTTGCACCATCAGACTTAGCTCGGACGTTTTATTTCTAAGACTACGAGCGTTCGTGTAGCACACACTTAAGGTGTTTTGGCAATCAATCGTTCTACCCATACAGGCCTCGGAAGCATTGGCTTCCAAGACCTGACTACCCGAAAACCCTTAATGGTAAGGTTATTTTCGCCATTTAATTTGCGAGTCCTCAACTCCGTAAGAGCATTCTTCCACTTGATTCGATCCTCAAGTGGCCAATCTGGTCGAATACGGATATTTGAGGCACGAGTTTTTAGTGCGCTTTTCAATAATGTCTCTTTCATCAAAACTCCCGTGAACCAGCTTCAGGATTCTTCTTGGTTGGGTCTCGCCTCCAACCCATTTACCAAGTCGTATTACTTTTGTAATATGTACTCCTGAAACCTCTTCAGGTAGTACATTCCTTACCACAGACTCCACTAACTGCAGGTCATGTGCATGTCTTCTAGCAGGGTCGTTGTCTTTCGACTTCCAACTTCACAACCTGGGGTTGTGCTGTCTAGGTTAAATACTTTTAGGCGATCTGGTGAGTTTGTAACGTACGAAGCATTTTGGATCTCCCAAATAGAAATATTCTTCCTGAAACACCTTTGTACTTTCTAAAGGAACCCAAGATGAATAACACATGAACGGACATCCAGACAAGATCACGCTTCTCATTACCGGTCGGCGCTACATGGGACGCTCTCCCAAAGGGTATGTCAACAGGCTTCAGTAAAGCGTCTCGAGAGCAGACTTGGTAAATATGCACATACTAATGGTTCACCGTCTTTCGCGTGGAACAACGTTTGATAAGATGGGGATAGATGTTTCGCACTCATTAGCGTTCATGTACCATATCTTGCACTTTGATCCGTAATTATTATGGTTAGTACTCACCTTATACCACTTTACCTCTTTTCATCCCTTTTCATACTCCGTTCACATTTTTTTATACATACTTACCTTTACTAGTTCAGCTGACTGGTTTGCTTTCGCGCCTCTGCTCCTTTATTTTTTAGTTTTGAAATCCTTCGTGTTACAAGAAACTAGTTTGCCTCTTTGTAACGTGATGGCTGTTGGTTCTAGCATCTTCACTGCTCTGAGACAAACACATTCATTTATACTCGAGCGTAACACGACTCAATCGTTCACAATGGTAGTGCATTCAATCCTTGTCTTCTTTTAAAACCTGAATCCCAATATCTCATTCTACTTTTTTTTATCTTTTGAGATGGTGGAGAAGATTTGTAGCTCAGGTGGATGATTTTGGTGGAGTTTTGTTCTCTGAGCTGGATGGTTTGGTCGTGGAGCTTTCATCGTTCTTCTGAACGACATCATCAGCACAAACTTCAAATAGAAGTGAAGTGTTCGAATTTCTCCATATGTGTTTCATATGGAGAAATTCGAACACTTCACTTCTATTTGAAGTTTGTGCTGATGATGTCGTTCAGAAGAACGATGAAAGCTCCACGACCAAACCATCCAGCTCAGAGAACAAAACTCCACCAAAACTTTTTTTATCTTTCTGTACTTAACTTTTCTACTAGTATTATTACTGCTCCTGCTTCTACTACTCAAGTATTTTTGTCGCTGTACTGTAATATGGCGAATGAATCATGCCAGGTTTTACGTTGGGCATGGTGAATCATAATGATGATTCGAGACATCAACTTCCAAATTATTATCGAATTCATTTCGGTTAGTGCAACCAAGTGGTTAGAACACATCAGGGGGTACCAAAGGTCTTGAAACCGTACCTTAATTCCAAGTAGTGATCTCACAGAAATCAGTTGATTTACACTGACTTGTCGCAGCGATATTGGATATGCTATGACAAAAGTGCCGTTAAAATCAGCCTTGAATTAACAACATCGGAGTGCATTTTCGAACAATTTGACGGTAAAACTCATTTATTTTTGACAGTTTTATGCAGACCCAGTTGGATTATGCAAACTTTTCTGCACTATAGAAAGATAAGGATACTCTTAAATGTATATAACAACGAGCTATGAAATCGTTCGGAGGACTTCGGTTCAGGGTTCACGAGAAACGCTTTAAAACAATTTTAGAATATGGGCAACTCAAGAACAGCATTTAATGACTATCGCATCATGGTAATTACGTGGAAGTTTAGTTTAATATTTTCCAACTCGTTCTACCTTTGTGGCCCCACAAAATTTCTTCTAATTTACCACTTATAATACATCTAGAACATCATTTTAACCTGCTTGATACATTTACAGTCTTTTATTATATAGTACATTTCAGAAACTGATTATTCTTTGTACTGCAACATTTTATATATTTGTAAAAAGTATTTCTATTCTAAAATCCAGATATGTTAGCCGCATCAGATCCTAGGAGACCCAATAAACTTCGAAGGTATGTCTTTATGATCATTTGTTAAACCATTAAGATTCGTTCCATTGTCACAGGATGCCCCTCCACTAGACCAAACTATAGACTATCTTAATTTTTTCGGAATAGTCTTAAGCATGTGTGGACTGTTGTTTGAAGTAAGTTGAAAATATGAGAAGTTTATGTTAGTAGATGAAGTTTGCTGCTTGGTTAGCCGTCGTTTGTGCTTTCATAACGTATGCCAACTCAAGAACTGGGGAAGATACAAAACAGCTGATCAGTGGCTTCATGTAATTATGTTCCTTTTCGTTGCTAATAGGTGGCATTTTCAGGTTGTCTATCAGCGCACTTATAATATGTTATATGCATAATCCACAACCTATGCAGCTTCCGTGGTGATTTTCTTGTAAATTATGCGGATTTTTTGAAATAAAATTGGTTGTACTTTGACTTCTTGATTTTAAATCTCGGATTCAATCACTTCTTTAAATAACTTTTCATTATTCTAGGCTGAATTACCACCCCTTCAGCTCCCTGCGGGTTCATACAATCCAGTCAATAAGCGTGTTATATATGTTGGTAGGCTCTCATTTATTTAGCTAATATTGTTAATTTTTAATAGGGGGACTATCAGAGCAAGTTGATGTACCTCTTGTTCGTGCGGCGTTTATCCCTTTTGGAGACATAGTTAGTATTAATATGCCCATGGACTATCAAACTGGTAAATGTCATTCTGTTTTCATTTCCTGTTAGAAAAACACAGAGGTTTCGCTTTTGTTGAATTCGAAGAAGTTGAAGATGCTATGAGTGCCATTGATAATATGGTAAGTTATATTTTCATACGCTCCAATGAAATTTAAAGCACAAAGTAGCATTTTGAATATAGTCAGTTTAAAATTTGGGATTAGTATAGTTGTAAATTTATTGTGCCACGTTAGTTTAAAGAATGTGATGCCTTAAAAAGTAATAAAGCTTATCGTCCTTGTCAGGCTCTCAACATTTATTTTAATTTGAAATATTCCCATATTGTAAATTTAGAACAACATATATAAGCGAACAATATTGTTTTCGATTAGATCCTCATCAGGCTTTACTCTAATATACAGTAATATTTATATGCATATACGAAATTATTAAACCAATCAAGGTAGTTTATAAGTCAATGATAACAATGGAAAAGATTACATAATAAGTAAAATGTGAAAAGTACACACTTGATCGATAGCGGTCATATAGTGGACAGAAACAAGTCGTTCAAAGTTATTTATCGGATTCCCACTAGTTTTCCTTATGGTGTTCGATCTCGTCTCTTACACATAGCAGAAGCTATAGGAATCCGAGCCAACAAGCCAAGTCTTTGTGTTCAGAAGAAATTTGTAACTCTCCCTTGGCCTTAATTAATAAATGAATTTATTTATTTATTCCTTTTCTAACTTTCTCTTCGTTTATTTTTCTTCACACCCTCCTACCACTTTATTTTCTCTCAACTATACGTTTCATGGTCCAGTTATCTGAACATTTCTTATTACTTCATTTTATAATTGTTATCTCAGTTACTATATTTTTCTAATCATTGACCTATTTCAGATTATGTAACATTGATTTGAACCTTTATTATTATTGCTTATCAAAACTAATGCACCTGTTTTCACACTATCAATTTGCACTTTTCACATTTTACTTATTATGTAATCTTTTCCATTGTTATCATTGACTTATAAACTACCTTGATTGGTTTAATAATTTCGTATATGCATATAAATATTACTGTATATTAGAGTAAAGCCTGATGAGGATCTAATCGAAAACAATATTGTTCGCTTATATATGTTGTTCTAAATTTATTTTAATGTTGATATATTTAATACACTACATCTCATAAGAGACGTTCTATGAGTTGTTGTGAACATATTATAGCGTAGCTTATTCAGTAAGTATATATTTATGTACTCAAGTGTCAACCTTATCAGGGTGGTCAGGAATCAATAAGTTATTGGTCCGTTGGAAAAATTCGGTAACAAGTACAAGAATTTTCATGGTTCTCACCACCAAACAAACAGTTGATAAAATTAGTCACTAAACCTTAATAATCTATGTTTTTTCTCCACGTCGGGCTCAGTACTTTACGTGTTTCGGTCTGGGCACCTGGACAGTATCACAGCCCACACACAAATATAATAAAAATGATGATATTTACTGAAAACTCTATTCTCGCTTCGATTTACAGTCAAACAATTCACATTATTGTTATTGTTATTATTGTTATTTACTACGTCACTTATTCACTCTCTTTTATTCCCACTTTGTGTATCCATATTTTTCGAATTATACAGCAGCTCCCTTATAGTGGAAACTCGGTTCTATCTAAACGTTTTCGAGTCACTGCCTGGTTGAAAACTGTATGCTACCACCAAATACGAATATTCAAGCAGTTTTTCTGAAACCACGTTTAAAATTCAAACTTGCTACCTCCAACGTTTGCATTCTTATGCAGGTCGGAAACAGATAGGGCTGGCTGTCTTTGGAAATCCTTAATATTGACGTCTGTTGTCTATCCGAGACCCATATTCAATACTCTAGTGAAGTACCACAAACCCATTCTCCATCTGTCGTTTCGAAAAGCTTGTCTCTCATAAGTTTGCCCGGGGACCCTGTGGCATTTTCATCTGGTCTTGCTGGTGTCGCACTAAGCGCTAGAGCTGAGACAACACTAATCGATTGGGTCCTTATTAACAGTCCGTTATGTGCTGTTAGGTTAGAAAGTTTCATCAAAGTGAGAGGAAATCGGCGTGAGAAACGATGTCTTTTTTATTTTATCTCCACCCATGCCTCGACAGATTGCAGCCTGGATGCCATCAAGGATGAACTCCACCACCAGTTAACTTTTCTTCTTCAGAAAGTGCGTTCGACAGATATTGTAGTACTAGTCAGAGACTTGAATGCTCAGGTCGGGCGTCTAGGCACAGAAGAGAGTCGTTTAGGTGGCCGATGGGGGGAATTGTTGGTCGCAGGACAGATAACGGGGACTGTCTACTGCAACTGTGCACAGACCACAGCCTGTTTCTGGCTAGCACTAACTTCCGGCACAGTCATCGCCGATGAGCCACCTGGCGTCCTCCCTATGCATCTCAAGCCTGGATTCAGATTTATCACATCGCGATCAGTTACCGCTGGCGTGGTTGTGTACAGGACTGCCGCTCCTTTTGGAGCACCTATCTGGACTCTGATCATGCCCTGGTCTGCGCCAATCTTTCCTTACTTTTCAGTTGCCAGCAAATTCATCGTCCCAAACGGTTCAGTGCCAGTAAATTGGTTGCGGCTTATGTTGCGACTATATATCAAACCGAGTTAGGTCCAAGTTTAGCTACCATACCATCAGAAAACATTGGTTGCAATTGCATGACGCCATGAAAATGGCGAGTAAAGTCACTTGTGTGTTCGCGAAACGTCCCGCTTATAAGCACTGGGTTTCTTCAGGCTCCTTACAACTCGTCGAAGTCCGTCGGTCTACTCCGGGTGACAGTGAGTTTGACCACAAACGAAGGATGTTACGTAATGAAACTGAGAAAAGCTTGCGTAAGGACCAAGAAGCCTGGTGGTCGAAGCGTGCTAATGAGTTGGAAGCAGCAGCTGCATCTGGTAACTACCGGAAGCTCTTCCAACTCATCCGAGCCACTGGCAACAAGAAGTCTGATGTGATCGAAACAATCTGTGAAGATGACGGGATGCCAATCACTAGCATCCACCGACCTCCTGGACTATGGGCAGAGTTTTTCGAGAGACAGTTCAGCTGATCTGTTGCTGCGGCAAAATCGATCAAACTGCCCTGCTCTCCATACCCTGTGACGACTGATACACCTAACAAGGCGGGAGTCCTCAAGGAACCCCGAATCTTGAAGCGCTACAAATCACCAAGTTCAGATGACTAACTTCCTGCCCTATTTTAAAGATCATAGTGACTTTCTGGTTAAGGAACTGCAACGTTGTTTAGGAAGGTCTGGGAGCTAGAGAGTGTACCAACGTCATGGAATGAGTAGATAGTTATTCCTATCTTTAAGCAGGGTTCTGAAACAACTATCGGGGGATAATTCTATCTCCGATCGCATCCGAACTGTTGGCTTCTACCATACTTCGTAGGTTGTTCAAAAACCGAGAACGATTAGCTCGCAAGGAGCAGGCTGGTTTTCGTTTTGGTCGAGGATGCATTGATCATATCTTCACCCTTCACCAAATGTTGGAACACCATCATAGTAGTATTTTTTGACATTAGGGTAGCCCTCGATTCGTTAGACAGGACCGTTCTCTCGGTCAGAATAGAAGCCAGTGGCGATCCTGCTGTAACCTTATTTTACTTTCTTCATAAAAAGTGGTTGTATCTTCCTTAACTGAAAGGATTCCTCCTGGTTGTACATTTCCGTTTCCCCCATTATTACTATTATTTTTATAATTGCACTGCCTTACACTAGTCTGTTCGTTAGTTTTTTTTCTCTTCGAATTCTCATTGTTTTGTATGGCGCATATATATTTGGTGCCCTATTGTACCAAGATTTCTGTGTTCAAATGAAATAAAAATCTCTAGATAGTATACTTCAAGGTAGTCAAAAATAGTACGATCAAGGATTTGACGGAGAGCCAGGGTTGTAAAATCAGTGTAGTTTGGTGTGGGATTTGGGCAAAACAGGAGTGTATATTTACTAGTGTTTATAACACTCCTCACAAACTCTACTAGTTGTATCCACGTTTACTAAAATGACTTAAATTAACATTCAATAGCTTAATTTGGACTATGTATTAAGCTGGGCACTGTGAAGCTTCTACTGATTAATGGATAACAGTTACAAAGCGGGTATTGGTTGTACAGTCTGAGGTGTTTTGGTTCTTCTGCGTTGAATTTCATGTTCTCAACTCAACGTGTGTGTTCGGGATGTTATAGTCATAGGTATACTTTCTTATTATTAATGTTCATCAACCAAACTTAATAATAATGAGAAAAAGTCTCGCCTTGTTATTTATGGTGGTTTATTACTACTTATGGTGCAGACACGTATATTAATCGAAATCCAGATTTGAGTTTCCGATTTTATTAGACTTTCTTAAATTCTAACCTGCAGATAATATTGGTGAGATGGAAAATTTAGTCCGACCAACTTAAGGGAACTATCGTAGGAGATAAACTTTATTTAGCTAACATGATATAAACTGCAATTACGTAAATTTTGTGTCGACTCATATTATTATTGTGGAGGATTTTTTTTATTTGCCAAATGTGTAATTCACTTAATACATGAAACTAGTACAGTAATATATTGTTTTCAACTACTGAATGGTCTCCAGAGATATCCACTCGTGGTATACTGAGGTTTCACAATGTATCTTTGGGCGTGTTAAAGTCTCGCAAAAATATCAGATGCGATGTTTCGGACACATTTTATGTTTGACACTAATGTAGTCCAAACAAATAAATATCATTACCTCACTGAAGTATAAAGCCTTGATCATTTCAGTCGACTGGGGTTCATCAGATAATTTAAACACATCTTTTTCTTTCGCTACAAGAAAAGTACTTTGGGGTCATGTGTAAGGAAATATTTATCACTTTTAGTGACCGTATCCAACACCTTAAAAACAGAAACGATGAAACTTTTGTTTGTCGTGGTGGCATTTCACAAGACATTCGCGAAGCCCTCCAGCTTAGGTTGCTAAACAACGAAATGATGTCGTTTCTTCTTTCTTATGTGATTCGAACACAATATATTGAACCCTCTATGGGTTTAGTATAAATTTTCGATATAAGTATAATATTGGTGATGAGCTCAGAACAACTGTTACGAATTATAAACAGTTGTCAGTCAACCAAAAAACAACAGAGTTTATGGGAAGTTGACAGCAATATTACACGAATTAAACACATTTTTGTATGATCAGTAAACCTATTAAAGCTTTTCTGTTTGTATGTTAAAAAAGCATCGTAAAGCCATCCTTGCTGATATAGATTATTCATCTTCTCAAACCCTCATGAGGACACAAATAAATTCTCACGAGCCCTTCACTGTTAAGGGTTAGAGTTAGAAATTTAAGGTCACGTAATTATTGTTAGAGTTGGAAAATTACGATTCGGGATTTAAGGATAAGGACTTCAATTTAAGAAGAGTGTTGATCCGCCTGTTAAATGCAGCCAACATAGAGAGAATTGAGCACTTAATTTGTTTAACGCTATCGTATTTAATTTATAGTGAGGAACAATATTCGTTATCATTTTGTGCATTGCACAAAGGTACGTGTGTTGATTGTGATATCAGATAAAAGTCGTTTGTCTTTGAATATTTTGATTGGCTTATTACTATTGTACTTTTACTTGATTTCATATCAAAGAGATGATGAAACCATTCTAATGTCTTCTCAATCTTATAGAATGAAAGTGAAATATTCGGGCGTACCATCCGTGTTAATGTGGCAAGACCAGTACGCATACGGGAGGGTTGGAGTCGACCTGGTAATGTTTTTTTCTTTAATTATTTATTATTGTCATGATGCGAAATTTTTGAGACTATTCAATTTCAAGATAATTTAAACCACATTTTATTTAGACAATCAGTCAGCCATATAGTGTACTTCCAGTTATGTGTAGCTTGTTCGTATTATATCTTTATATTGTTGCGTCTCCAATGACTTAGTTTAAATTGCCAACCTTTTGTGTAACAGTTGGTAAATTCTGGCATAACATTTGTTGATTTCTACGTCTATAACTAACTTTCTTCAAAGTGTCGACCGCTTCACTTATCTTGGAAGTCTCATCAGCCCTTGTGGTCTGGTATGTGACGAAATCTCAGCACGCATACAGAAGGCTCGACTATTTTTCCCAACTTGTGTCATTTATGGCGTAGGTGAGATATCCGTCTATCAATCAAAGGACGGGTTCACTGTGCAGCAGTTCGTTCCTTCCTACTTTATGGCAGTGAAACATGGCCGGTAAGAGTAGAGGATATTCGCAGGTTACTAGTATTCGATCATATATGTCTTCGAAACATTGCTCGTATATCCTGGGACCACCGAGTAAATAATGTAGTTGTTAGGAGACGAGTACTAGGTAAGGATGGCAAATCAATTGACGAAGTAGTAAAACTTCATCAGTTGAGATGGCTGGGACACGTGTTACGTATGCCCAACGACCGACTGCCTCGACGTGCGATGTTCAGTGGTATAGGAGTATGTTGGAAGAAAGCTAGGGGCGGCCACACCAAAACATGGCACAAGTCCATGAAGTCACTGACAAGTGGACTGAGTCATGTCGGTAGGTGTAGACTACCTGGTTGGGGACCGCGAGATGATAGCAACCGATGGTTAGAGACCTTGAATGACATGGCTCAAAATCGTTTGCAATGGCGCAGGTGCATCCACTCTTTGTGTTCTCCCAAATTTTGATCTCCTGATTCCCCTTTGTCTCTTTTTTTTCTCTTCCCAAGTTTATTTCACTGTATTATACTCTTTAAGTAACATCTCCAAACACTAATCTTTCCGATTACTGCTTATACTCTTATTACCTCTACCACTACGGGATTTGAATCGACTACGGCATCTCTGTGCTAATGTGGTGTGGCAACTCGAACTGATGTACGTATGTATGAAGTTCTACGTTGTTACTGACTTCTTCAAAGTGTTAGAGTATTGAATGTTTTCATTTACTAAACTTATTTATTCATATGGGAACGGTCACCGTCAAATAATTTCATCTCGTTAGACATTACTGTTTGTTGGTGTGATAAAATTGTTGCAAGTTGATCACACTGTCTCAAGCCTATACTGTGTATTTATTTGAGCACATAAATATCGGTTCAGCGGGGCACCAATTACATATGTGCCACACAATAACAACGAGGTTGTGAAGAGATAGAGAGTGCAAAGTGCGTATAATAAAAGAACTACAACGAATAAAAATCAGTGTATGAGAGTGAAATAATGATAATAATAGGAGAAACAGTTCAGTTAGCAAAAACATATCCAGGAAGAATTCATTCAGTTAAAGAAGTTACGTTTACTTTTATGAAAAAAGTAAAAGGAGGTTACAGCAGGATCGCCACTGGCTTCTATTCTGAGCCATTTCTGATAACATCCCAAGCCAATGTGTTGTACCATCTCTAGGACCTCAATCAGGGAGTCATGAGTGATCAGTAGGAGCCAATCCTGTACAGCTTTCTTTCATACTGGGACACTGTGTCATACACTGACCGCCTCTCCGCTTTTCCAACCGGTCCAGGTGTCGGCAAGTAATGCACAATGTGAGATTCGCTAAGACGACATTCGTAAGACGTGTTCAAGCCATGGAAGTCGATGTTTCAGGATGGTGACACCAATTGAATTATCATCTCTGTACCCGGACGCACGATGCCGAACCTCTGCATTACTAACATGGTGTTGCCACTGGATGTCAGGAATACTTCAGAGACAACGATGATCGAACACAGAGTTGTCTAACATCTTCAACTCGGAGAGGCTAGGCTTCATAGGCATAGAGCAGAACTGCTCTCACTGACGCGTTGTAGGTCCGACCTTTTACAGCCAGACTAACATCATGAAGGTGCCAAAGATGGCCCAAATTGGCATAAGCCGCTCTGGCTTTCACTATACGTGCATTGATCTCATCACTCACGCCACCACCAGTCCTTATGCAGTTATCTAGATACACGAACTTCTCGACTAATTCTATCAGCCCACTACCAAGGGAAAGTGCAGGTTTAGCGTGCTGTAAGTCTTATTAAGGTACTTTGCGCTTAGAAGATGTAGAGCGCACGATATACGTACGGATAGTGATTGTCAACTGATTAAGTGCGTATTGTATTGCTTGGGTATCGCCACACAGTAAGACAATCTAATCTAAAATTCTTTCTCCAGTTAACAGATCCACACCATCATTGCCTACATCCATCAGAGCTGTTTCTAGAACGTGATCCATAGCAATGTTGAGGAGGGATGGTGAAATTAAGCAACTCTGCCTAACCTCACTGCTTGAGTGCATCAATGGAGAAAGGCGGTTGTATGCCCTTACTCTGCCTGAGGTGTGTGCATATAGGGCCTTTGGATGTTGATAAACTTCTCAGACACACCCTTCTTCAATAGACAATCCCAGAGAACAGTCCTGTCTAACGAATCGAGGGCTACCTTAATGTCAAAAAATACTACTATGATGGTGTTCCAACATTTGGTGAAGGGTGAAGATATGATCAATGCATCCTCGACCAAAACGAAAACCAGCCTGCTCCTTGCGAGCTAATCGTTCTCGGTTTTTGAACAACCTACGAAGTATGGTAGAAGCCAACAGTTCGGATGCGATCGGAGATAGAATTATCCCCCGATAGTTGTTTCAGAACCCTGCTTAAAGATAGGAATAACTATCGACTCATTCCATGACGTTGGTACACTCTCTAGCTCCCAGACCTTCCTAAACAACGTTGCAGTTCCTTAACCAGAAAGTCACTATGATCTTTAAAATAGGGCAGGAAGTTAGTCATCTGAACTTGGTGATTTGTAGCGCTTCAAGATTCGGGGTTCCTTGAGGACTCCCGCCTTGTTAGGTGTATCAGTCGTCACAGGGTATGGAGAGCAGGGCAGTTTGATCGATTTTGCCGCAGCAACAGATCAGCTGAACTGTCTCTCGAAAAACTCTGCCCATAGTCCAGGAGGTCGGTGGATGCTAGTGATTGGCATCCCGTCATCTTCACAGATTGTTTCGATCACATCAGACTTCTTGTTGCCAGTGGCTCGGATGAGTTGGAAGAGCTTCCGGTAGTTACCAGATGCAGCTGCTGCTTCCAACTCATTAGCACGCTTCGACCACCAGGCTTCTTGGTCCTTACGCAAGCTTTTCTCAGTTTCATTACGTAACATCCTTCGTTTGTGGTCAAACTCACTGTCACCCGGAGTAGACCGACGGACTTCGACGAGTTGTAAGGAGCCTGAAGAAACCCAGTGCTTATAAGCGGGACGTTTCGCGAACACACAAGTGACTTTACTCGCCATTTTCATGGCGTCATGCAATTGCAACCAATGTTTTCTGATGGTATGGTAGCTAAACTTGGACCTAACTCGGTTTGATATATAGTCGCAACATAAGCCGCAACCAATTTACTGGCACTGAACCGTTTGGGACGATGAATTTGCTGGCAACTGAAAAGTAAGGAAAGATTGGCGCAGACCAGGGCATGATCAGAGTCCAGATAGGTGCTCCAAAAGGAGCGGCAGTCCTGTACACAACCACGCCAGCGGTAACTGATCGCGATGTGATAAATCTGAATCCAGGCTTGAGATGCATAGGGAGGACGCCAGGTGGCTCATCGGCGATGACTGTGCCGGAAGTTAGTGCTAGCCAGAAACAGGCTGTGGTCTGTGCACAGTTGCAGTAGACAGTCCCCGTTATCTGTCCTGCGACCAACAATTCCCCCCATCGGCCACCTAAACGACTCTCTTCTGTGCCTAGACGCCCGACCTGAGCATTCAAGTCTCTGACTAGTACTACAATATCTGTCGAACGCACTTTCTGAAGAAGAAAAGTTAACTGGTGGTGGAGTTCATCCTTGATGGCATCCAGGCTGCAATCTGTCGAGGCATGGGTGGAGATAAAATAAAAAAGACATCGTTTCTCACGCCGATTTCCTCCAAAAGGAGCGGCAGTCCTGTACACAACCACGCCAGCGGTAACTGATCGCGATGTGATAAATCTGAATCCAGGCTTGAGATGCATAGGGAGGACGCCAGGTGGCTCATCGGCGATGACTGTGCCGGAAGTTAGTGCTAGCCAGAAACAGGCTGTGGTCTGTGCACAGTTGCAGTAGACAGGTAACAGATATCAAAATTAATACTCTCTAAAAACTTAACCAATCTTATCTGTTGTCCGATCTGCATTAGTGTGTGGTCTAAGAGAAATAAAAACGAATGTTATCATATGAATGTTAAGATATGTACGGGCGCTGAAGCAAGAGGAAACTTTCCAGGTGTAGTTGCCATTGATTTGTGTGAGGGCTGTGATACTACTTGGGTGCCCAAACCGAAGTAGATGGTCTTCTTAGGGGACCGCATTCGAACATTTGACCTGAAGGTCTAATCTACTATGTAGTGGAGCAACGTTAGGAGATGCAGTCCCATGGAAGCCGGTGACGAACAATAGGTTCATACGTCATTTGTTCCCTGAGGATCCTGGAGTCCATGTGCACCACCGGTTTGGAATCAGGGTTTGCCATCTCCCCTGAGTGGATCTCCGTGCCCATCAACCCGGTTAAAGCACTGGACATTCGTTTTTCGTTCTCTCCATTTCGTAAACTACACTCCTGCTGCGATCAATTAGTCAGTTGAACTTCCCTGGTAGTAGCTATATACGCGTGGCCATGTGAGGGCATTTCGAGAGGGAGAGCTGACTCTCCAACGTTTAGTGAAACTTATATATAAATATTGCCATAGATTATGATTTCAATAAAACTATGTAAGTTTAAAATGTTCCCTACATATTTCTATATTGACATTCACATTTTAAGTCTGGTCGGACGAGAATTGGTTGAAGAAATATGGCAGTGCTCCATTAGAAGGACGAAAACTGGATGAACCTGATATCGTCAACCCATCAGATTCTGCAGAAAATGTTGAAGACTTGGTAAGTTTAAAAAAAGTTTGATTAAATTGTTTATGATGTAATCTACGCATGGAAAATCTCACAGACATATCATTAGTTCGAAATGCTACACTTCGCAACAGCACAAACGCGCCATGTCATACTAACCTTATTCTTCATCCGTCACTCACAAAGCAATTGAAATGCAGTACTATATTTACATATATATATTACGAATATATCTTAATGCTTTTTAAGTTTATTGAACGGTTTCTAAGTATGATCAGATTCCGTGAAGCCTTCTAATAAGTTTGATTTTACCAATACGTGGTGTTATGTATCCACGAATCATATTTCAAAATTTTCCACTGTACTCTGTTTACTGAGTAATTTTACTTGATAAACACTGGTAAGAATTGAAAATGTTCACTCCAACTATGTTGATTAGGATATTATTACAAGTAATAACGATGAATATGTACTGTTAACCAATATGATTCATTGGTAATTTATCACATCAGTATAACGCTTGACGATCTTTTCGATTTTCTGGAAAGTGATCTTCAGTAAAAATGTTGGATTATTTCAGTAACTAAGACAATTTTCCAAACCGTTCTTGGTTTTTTATAAGAACTTTCGTGTAGATTTGATCAAATAGTTTCACAATATTTGGGCGCCGAGTTGATGTGAAACATTAAAGAGGAAGAATGTATTTGTAAGATCTCAGTGAATGGGTTTGGAGTAAATCCAACGGTTCACCTGGCAATCTCGTCCAAGCTTTTTCAAGAAATTACAATCAAACATCAAAACTATTGAATATAGTTCTAAAGTCAGTTTTCATTAGGTGGTACGATTACTAGAAAAAAACTTAAAATACGTGCTATTATATCATACTAAATCTTTCCACGCATGTAGCTCCTTACATTTCAGATGACTTGGATAAAATCGCCATTCTGTCTGCATAAAAGGTTGACAGTTATCTAAGTTTCAGTCCTTTTTCCTACTTAGTGTTTGTTTCTAATTAATTCAGGCACTGTTATATTTTAGAATTATTATGATACTACTACAAGTATTTCTGCATATCATTACAGTTTAACGTGTATACCAATTTTACCTTTACTTATGTACTCAATTTTCACAGAGTGATGAAGAAATGCGAATCAAAAAACAAAAACGAAATCTTCCTCGAGTATTCTTCGATATTCGAATTGGAAACGGAGATGCTGGTCGTATAGTGATGGAGCTTCGGTCAGATATTGTCCCGAGAACTGCTGAAAACTTCCGTGCCTTGTGTACAGGAGAACGTGGATTCGGTTACCATAATTGTTGTTTCCATCGAGTTATACCACAATTCGTATCCATGACCTAATGTATTTAAATGCCTTTGCGTAATTTTCGCATTCTTAAAGGCAATTGACAGATATTTATGTAAAACAATCAGGCTGGAGACTTAGCCGAACAGCTGTTGATGTGAGATAAATCCAGACATCCTGCATATCGACATTAATGTGTAAAGTTAAAAAAATTGGGGAAAACTAATTCTTAGTTAACAGTAAAGTCTCTTAGTTCAAATGCCTCAGACTTTAGATTGTAGTATGGTAGGTAGCCTTTGTTTCCAACGCAAGCCCATATTAAGGTCGTCGTTATTCATCAACATCAAAACCCATTAGCTGATTGTTTTGTTTTAATTTATTCACCTCTAAATGAATGAAATATTTCAGATTTTATACTATATCCTTGACAATGAGTGTCTTATCAGATGTGTCAAGGAGGCGACTTTGTAAAAGGGGATGGGACCGGTGGCAAATCAATATATGGACGTAAATTCGATGATGAAAACTTCCAACTCCGACATGAAGGGTTCGGTGAGTGTGTTTATCTTTTGGTCCTATTAATGTGTTTCTACCTTTTTTAAAATGTTCAATATAAAAAATGTAGAACTGTTGATCAACGCTTCTCTCATCTAACTCGTATGAGGTTTTGACATCAACTAAATCATCTGTTTTTGGTTTGTATGTTGTTCATAATGAAATACGAGTCTAATAATCATCTGCCTAGCATTTCTTCAAAGAGCCTACCAGCCCAGTTTATTTACATATATTAGATAATATTACCTGGCATGTACTTTGTGTATTGATACCATATTTTGGTCTGCCTTTTTATTTGAACACAAATATTGGTACAAGGGGGCACCAGATATATATGCGCCACACAAAACATTGAAAATGGGAAGCGAAAAAGAATGTATGGTGCGTATAAGAAAAACAGAGAGAACAATAACGATCACAGGTTAGTGTATGGAAGTAGAAAAGACAATAATAATAATGGAGGAAACGGAAAGGTATAACCAGAAAGAATTCTTTCAGTTAATGAAGTTACAACCACTTTTTGTGAAGAAAGTAAAAGAAGTTTACAGCAGGATCGCCACTGGCTTCTATTTTGAGCCATATCTGATAACGTCTCTAGCCACTGTGTTGCACCATCTCTCGGACATATTATACATTCTCAATTCACGAGACTGGATCGATGGGCAGAACACTTTAGGAATCAGTTCAGCTTGCCTTCAGCCACACTTCGGTTTCCCACGATCTCCTGTCTACCTGAATGGCAAATTAATGTAGGTCCATCGACTCTTTACGAAGCTGAAAGAGCTATAGGAAATCTGAAGCGAGGGAGAGCAGCAGGCCTTTACAAGTTTACCCCTGAGATTTTTAGGGATGGTTGTCCAGTATTAGCAGCGAGATTGACTGAGGTCTTAGGTAGAATTTGAAAACTGGACGTAATCCTATCTGACTGGTCTCAATCACTGATTGTGCCAGTCTATAAGAAAGGACAAAAGTCCTCTTGTGACAATCACAGAGGAATCATTTTGACTAACATAGTTTCTAAAATATTACCTTCAATAATTCTTCGACGCCTAACTAAAGCCCGTGAAGAGCAAACTAGAGAAAATCAGGTGGTTTTCGACCTGGACGTGGTTGTATAGACCAGATATTCACACTACGTCAGGTTCTAGAACACAGACACACGTTCAGACGCCCCACAATGATAGTATTTCTCGACCTTCAGGCGGCATTCGACTCTATCGATCGTGAGGTTCTATGGCAGTGTTTGTCACTGAAAGGAGTACCAAAGAAGTACATTAACCTTGTAAAGGCTCTCTACTCGAACACAACTGGTCGAGTGAAAGCTTATGGCGAACTGTCATCAGAATTGATTACCTCAAGTGGTGTTCGTCAGGACTGTTCACTCTCTCCATTATTGTTTAACTTAATCGTAGATATGCTTTTAGTGATAACACTTTCCTCATCTAAACTTCCAGAGGTTGAACTTCTACTGGAAGATTCACTATTTGACCTAGAATATGCCGATGACATAGTTCTATTTGGTGAAGACGCTGACAAAATGCAGAGTTTTCTGATCACTATAAGCAACAATGCAAGCATGTTCGGCATGCGATTCCCCCCTCGAAATGCAAAATGTTGCTTCAGGATCGGGTTGCATCGACACCCGAACTAATGATAGAGAGTGAAGTAGTTTAGCGTGTCGATCGCTTCACTTATCTTGGAAGTCTCATCAGCCCTTGTGGTCTGGTGTGTGATGAAATCTCAGCACGCATACAGAAGGCTCGACTATTTTTCCCAACTTGTGTCATTTATGGCGTAGGTGAGATATCCGTCTATCAATCAAAGGACGGGTTCACTGTGCAGCAGTTCGTTCCTTCCTACTTTATGGCAGTGAAACATGGCCGGTAAGAGTAGAGGATATTCGCAGGTTACTAGTATTCGATCATATATGTCTTCGAAACATTGCTCGTATATCCTGGGACCACCGAGTAAATAATGTAGTTGTTAGGAGACGAGTACTAGGTAAGGATGGCAAATCAATTGACGAAGTAGTAAAACTTCATCAGTTGAGATGGCTGGGACACGTGTTACGTATGCCCAACGACCGACTGCCTCGACGTGCGATGTTCAGTGGTATAGGAGTATGTTGGAAGAAAGCTAGGGGCGGCCAAACCAAAACATGGCACAAGTCCATGAAGTCACTGACAAGTGGACTGAGTCATGTCGGTAGGTGTAGACTACCTGGTTGTATCTCTGTGCTAATGTGGTCATTTTAGATGGGCTTTATTGCTTGTTTCACATCAGTTGCATTATTTCTCTTAGGTGTTCTTTCCATGGCGAATTCTGGACCAAATACAAATGGATCTCAGTTCTTCATTTGCACAACAAAATGCGATTGGTAAGCTTTTATATATATCGACGAGCCTCATTTATATTTCCATTCTCCATAATGAGGTGGAGTGACATCGTTTTTCTAATGTCGCTTCTTAGCCTGTGTTGTTTGTTAAAAATGATTCCATTGTGGATAATTAAAAAGTAAATTTGTTCTACCATATATTTGTATTAAGTATGACTCGTAAGTGGTATGTGATAATCTAAGAAGTACCAGAAATATGTAAATGCCCTATTGCCAAAGCGAAAAAACAGCGCTGTGAAGTGATGTTTGTTATATATCGAGCAATGTAACTTAAATGTTATTAGTCATTTGAAACACAAACAGAAAATGCACTTGAAACTACATATCAAACCATTTGGGTTTGTAAATTTTAAGATACTGTTATTAGCCCCGTGCAAAGAGATGCTAACCAAGGATATTTCAAGTCGTAAACTATTTTTCATTCCATCATGGCGTTAGGATTCCTCAGTAAAGGGATTTCCAGGAGGTCATTCATAAGGCATACAGGAAAGCCTGGGACTGACGTTTTAGAACGATATTACTACATCCAACGTGCAGCCACAGAATTATTGATATGGTTTTCATACATCAAATAACTTTACTGTTTCATGCTACGAAATCTTATTTACCTAAGGTAGACGTTTAATATCTTTCTTCTCACGAACCCCAAGTTAAAGGATGTTATCCAGAGTAATAAGGCCCCAAATTATCAACATTTCAAAATGATCTTAGTATTCTCTCGATCTCGAACTTCCCTACAATCAAATGAATATTCATAAAACCTTAACAACAAAACCTATTTTTACTGACTCAAAATTTTCTGTTTATAAATGTACAAATGGTCTCAGACACTTATTAAATTATTCAAACGTCTTTTTATAGGCTTGATGGCAAACATGTTGTTTTCGGTCGAGTAGTGGATGGACAAAATGTCGTAAAAAAGATGGAGGTTAGTTCTTATCTCCTTACCAATTATTGACATAATTTATGTAATGTTGGTAATGAGTTTCAGACACCGTTTGGATGACGTAAGGAATTCAAATGCACTAGCACGCTTAAAATATTCCCAAAAATGTTAGTTGCATTTGCTGTTGATACATTTCTTTTTAATTACTAGCCGCTTAATGTTAGGCTACCATATATCTACTGTCAGATTTAAGATGTATAGAATAGTTTTACTGTATCAACAAAAAGGGTATCAGTTCTCACTGTACCGTACTGCGGATGTTTCCTGTAATTTATTTGGAAATAATCTCCATTTCTGCATGCAATTCAGTTACTTGATAACACGACTTTTTAAAATGTTACTGTATCACATGTTCGACTTCCATATTGTACTAAATAAATTTTTAAATGGTTTTGTAGTCCGTTGGATCGAAATCTGGTAAGGTCAAAGAACCCGTTATCATATCTCGGTGTGGAGAATTAATTTAACGCATCTGGATTGTAAAATGGAGAGATGTACAGTTTTGTTTTTAAGTGTTTTTCAACAATATACCATTATTGAAATAGCTGACGGTAGTTTTTAATTATTTCAAAGTTGGAAATAGGTAATAGGCAGACATTTAACATTTCGGTTTATAGTTTTAAGCTGTCCATAAACTAATTAAACAGTAACGTAGATAAACGGATCGCCACAGATGATAACTTTGATCACACCATGCTATAAATAATTTGTAAGCAGTACAATATAGCAAGTCTGATTTGAGGTGACGTTTAAATTAGTCTGAATTCAACTACTTTCCACTCATCAGACGGAGATCCCCACTTTATTAGACAATAGTTCCTGATCTACGTATTCTTAGTAATTCTGCTGACCTTGATCTCATGAAGGAACTGAGGCAGTTTTCGAACAAATCTCGTCGTGCTTTAATAGGTTCTTCTATTCGTTTTGAGGTAAATGTACATACAATAGGTTTTTGTCTATTTCTTCGAAATTTTCTCAGTAGCATGTGCCGCATCACTTAACATTGTATCTTTTATGCTATTAATACCCATGTTAATTAAAATTGGTTTCCTCACACTTCATTGTTATGGGAATAAAGCCTTTACAACTAAGTTATTCCGTAAACTTATCGCAGTGGTTCGTTGAAGACACCAGCGTATTCACTGGCTATAGCACAAATTTGATTAAACATTTCTAACCTGGTTTTCCAGGTTATTCTATTCTTGTATCTTGATGATTCAGTTCGTCACCAACTAATAGACATCTGGTAGATGCCACCTCAATTTGGATGACGTAATGTTATACGAAGTTTACAATCAGACCAACAAGTTTTATGACAATCCTTTCATTACGTTTAACTTTTACAGCTATCTCAGCATTATTAGCATGTTAAGTTTTCTTCAGTTTAGAGATGAAGATTTTAACGAAATTATTTTCTATACGTATGTTTTATTTTTATCTTGTGATTCCTGGTACCACTTTTAGGAGTACTAGTGAATAATACATAAAAATAAGTTAGTCAGAAGTGTATAGCCAGCTACGTACGACACAAATAATAAAAACTTGTAATTAATCGTTACTTATGACTTTTTATTTTGTAACAATTTTAATATGTTATAGCGATGATACATCGAGTTAAGTAGAACTTTATACGGATGATGTCCTTCATGGGGTATGGTCCATAAACCAAGCAGTCTTCGTAAACAAGGGTGCATTATCAAAAGATGTACACATAGTTGGTGAATTGAAGATGTACACCAATAAATCACAAATGCCTATGATATTAACACATAATGTAACTAACCTACTTTTGGAAAAAAGCTGCAACACGCGAAAAGAGCGAGATTTCCAACCCAACCAACAAACCGCACAGCATTATAAGGTAGAGGATCTGGTATTACAGAATTAGATTTCGGATTGAAGAACAGAGGTCGTCTTAAACATGCCAGTTCTACATTTGCCAATCCGGCTAACGTACATATGGAGGGAAGCAGGAAACTTGAGCACGGAACGTTGAGAGACGGATCGGCAATCACTATTAAGTAAATTAAAAAAACACCATTAAAAAATCAGTCGAAACAAAACTTATTCACTTGATTTTGTAATCTGGATGTTTTGTCTCACTTTTACGAGTGATCTTATTTTTAGAGATGTAAACCTGCGCTGCGATCGCTGATAAATGCCGAAGTTTGCATGTATTGCGTTTGCTGAAATATTACTTTCTTATAGTGTAACATGCTGTGAAAATTAGGAATATTTACTTCAGGAACTTTTAGTGCGTAGAGGAATCCTTGCTTTCATAGTGTCCTGGAAGAAACAGCTCTGAGAAAGGTTTAAATCAAACACAAATTTGTGGTTGATGAACGTTCTTCGTGAAATAATCGTGATTTATAAAACGTCATATCTAGCGCGTGAGACCTACTGGGAATAGCACACTGTGCTCCCACATATTTTAAGATGAGAATGTTTTCAAGTACACAAGTAACAAACTGTTAAAGACCAATAAGTCACGAGACTTACAATTATTGGAATCGGATTGCGGATACAGTTGGAATCCACTCAAGTATCTGATGGAGAATGTGAATGTGAGCCACAATGGGATTTGGATTATCCCTGTAACTGACGATTTCAATGGGTGACATCCATTTTTTTCGCATGTTTTAATGAAGACACGTCTGAACTTGAAGTATGTATTTATTCAAAGAACCCTACCAGTTGATTTTCAAGCACTAATTTTTTCTTATTACTCAAATTAAGATAACACTCGGAATTACTAAGTTTCGCCTGCATCATCTGTCGGTTTTGTTGACATTCAATGGCAATATGTGAAACTTTAGCTTGGTTCTTCTCAGCGTAGATGTACAATGGAACGGCTACAACTGTTCGTACTATGATAGCAGTGGTTGCGATTGTCAGTCCCCATGGCAATCCTAGATTATCATGAACACCAATAAGTAGATTTGTTATTGCTTTTACGTGCAAATGATCAGGATGGAACAGTTCTTTGCTAATATAACTGAAAGAACTTGTGAAGTATGAGCAACGCGAATAATGAGTTAGTCGAAGCCGCAACATAAGTAACCTTGAGGAAAGATCTTTAGATAGTGCGAGCAAACAAGTTTTGTCTAGGCAATTTACAATGTGTAAACTCTTATTTTTGTCCGTTTTTGGATCCAAGAAGTCGAATTAAGTATGAATATATGTTTTCATGCATTAATATGGGTTGATGTCTGTTATGTTTTTGTGCAGACGAACTAGCTGTTCTACTTGGATAAGGATTAAGAATATTTTTTCAGTATCTAGTAATAAGGAGGCCAGTTCAATCGTTTGGTTTATGTATTTTGGTATCTAGTTTCCATTAGAGATCTAGATTATGATTGAACTGATTCACCGATTAACCTAATAACACATCTCTGGTTGAAAGGTCCGATAAGAAATCTCAGTAGATTTTTATTCAACTAAAGCTTTTTAAGCTGTTTTAATGGCCACGGAGTTCACTGTCATTAAAGAAATCCAAAAGACAAGATGTGACACACAAGTTTTTGTTTGAAACTCTAAGAACAATGTGAACTCAGCTCTTTTCCTACGATAAAATAATTGAAGAAGGTTTGAGTGTACGGAAGTTTACAAAGCACGTCCAAAACATAGTCGTCTAGGGTTAAATACGCCTATTTTTTCCGGGATCTTCAGTAAGTTATGGACTTATTCTTCTGACGCAAGATTCCAGGTGTATTCACATACTGTTCGTCCTCAATATGCAAAACATATCTGAGCAAAAGAATTTAAGACCTCTAAAAGGTGACCGAAATACATATAGACTTTGGGAACGGATCAATTGAACTAGGAAGTTATTTCTGAGATAGGAACTACAGTTCAAGATAATTCTGTTTCTGTATTTAAGGAAGTGGTGTTCCGTCCGTTATTCATTGGTGTCTGTTACCATATTTTAAGTGCGTTATACCAATGTTTTTCGAATCGGCGTTTAGGTTCAAACTACGTCTTAACCAGCTTGGAGGTCGCGATGATCAGTCTTACTACTTATTATTATTCAGACATTGGCATTTGTGATGAAGAGTATGGAGGACTTGAGTAGTTTTGCTAAGATACAATGAAAAACGTCTCATTAACTCTGACTGAGACACTCTATAAAATGGCCACGTGAAACCTATGAATATTTCGTCATAAAGTTGGCCGATATTTTGGGCCGCACTTTTATCTCTTGCTTCTAGTAGGTTGGCCGATGAGGCACATTTATTCTGAAGATCGTGTTACATAGAAGTCGGTAGATTATGCGGTTCTGCATGACTTAGCACATTATTATGGATTATTACTTCCATGCGAATGGGAATGAAAGGTCGTTGTAGATGTCAACCATCAAGACTTGGTGTTTTACCAGGTATTATGCTGCTTACCAACATGAGATTGGGTTCCTCTGTTATTTTTACTCGTATCGTGCCTGATATCTGATAAGTTCGACTATGGGATATGTTACCACCAGTATTCCGTGCTTAGATCTTGATAAACTTGATAAACTTTCAACTTGTTTCTATTCTGATACACCTAGTCTATCTCAGTTCTTAAATGACTGTACTGAAGTGATACCACTACATCGTTTTGTTTTACTTTTGTTATATAAAAAGCACAGGTTAAGGGCAAACATGGTTTTCAGTTGCTGCCGTACGCAATCAGTACGCGTTTCAACAATCGACATTTAGCATTTGTTCATGACTTTGCATTACTGAAGTTTAAGTGCTGCGAGATCAAGTGATTAGGGTTGTTGCCGAAAGACATGAAGCGTTGAAACATAACTTGTTTGGTCGTATGATACACTTTACACGGAAACGATGAATACTAATTTACATAGAGTTAGCACTGGCACATCAATTTAAAGTAGCCGAATCCATGTGAACGACGTGTAGCTTATTGAAATCTTCAAGGATCAAATGATCACCAGCCTTGCTCCAGGTGCAAATATGACCCTATACATATCCCTCTATTTACTGTCCCATATCTAGACTTTATAATATTATTAATTTTGGACCACTGAGCCGACATCTAACGGTGTTAATGTCTAGCTTCAATATATTCATGATCTTGCACAACGCTTCATCCACTGTTTGAGGTAGGTAAGTGTCTCATACAACACGGATTGAATTCTGCTGGTCACGGCTTCTCACCGGAAATTCAGAGAAACAATCTTGAGGCTAGTCATTAGAGAGCACATGATAAAGTAATTAGTGGAAGAATGCAGTGAAAGTTAGATATGATTATTAAACAGAATACGTAAGGTTAGAATTAGAGAGTAAATTGGTAATGACATCGAAGTTCAAAAATTGTCTTAAGAGAAGAGAAAGATTTTAAAAAAATGTAAAGGTATCTAGGCAGAGAGACAAGGTATATTTAAAGGTTCTGTTATATGTATATTAGGTTTTGTTATGTTTACTGTGGTACTTATTAGATTATATTAAAGTAGATCTTAATAACCGGTTAATGATAGCATGTATGTATCCTGTGAAGCTTATGCATGTAAGCTTCCATTCACAAAGTAAATTATCAGGAAGTGCTACGTTGAAATAAAATAACGAAATAGTATTAATAGCGATAAGTATAGTACTCTGACAAGACATAATCAAGAACTGAAATTCTTAGTACGTAGTATGAAATTGTGCTGCATTATTATGATATGTACAAACATATTATCGAATATTTAACTCTACGGTAAATGTATTGGTCATTCACTACGCAAGCCACATGTTGATTGTCTGTCTATGTTTTTATTAAGTAGTCTGGGTTTTCTGCTAGACCGTTTGACTGAGGATGTCATGGAGCTGTAAAGAGATGATGACATCGAATATCAGCAAGCTAGCTGTTAAAATCTTCCCGTGTAGTGAGTTCCATCATCTGCTACTAATACACTGAGAATTCCTTCCCTACTAAATATCTTTCACATCGCGCTTTGATTAGATTGTTCTCTAGAACTTTTCGTGAGTACAACTTCTGGTCATTTTTCACATGAATCAGTGACGACCAAAGAGCAACATGAGTTTGAGATGAACCACAGTAATCGGCATACGTACGTTATCACAATTCTTAAGATACAGACTAAGGATTCCAAGCACGTCTATTATACGGTAGCTTGTGTAAACAATCAGGACATGTTTTCGATATTCGAATTATGTCAGCTACAGTCTTAAGTCACTGACAATTTTGACAAACAGTTTCCATGCTCCCAGATGAGCAGTATGAATACTGCATATCTGAGTGTAGGGAAAATTATTACTCAACAATAAAAGCACAAAAATCACTCACAATACAATGTTATGTCCTCTCTCTCTTTTTGTAAAACCAAGAAAACCTACGTTTGCACCAATTATTCCAACCTCTTTATGCTGTACCGATTACAGTCCAATTACCGGGCATCCTTCACGAGTTCTGCTATATAAACAGATAGACGGTCTGATGAAAATCTGACCATTTAAAAACCGTAAAGGGTTCACTAGTATATTCTCATGTCGTTGTTTCCATACAGACTCTTTGCTAGAAACCAAGTTGGAAAGTGGAGATAATACGTTGGTAGAGTTAAGAATAAAACTGCATTACACTAGTCCATGATCTGGGTCCTGAGATATTCGTAGTGTAAATCACCAGTGTAGATTATCTATGTCGAATGATTGAAGGCCTACTCGAGTTAGACGGGAATGATGTGAAGAACCAGTTAACGTCGATGTCACACCTCACAGTCAGCGCCTTACGTGGATTGCCCGGTCGACGTATTAATGCACTACAGATGCTTTAAAGACTGTACAACACAAAGGACGTTATTACAGAAATATATTAGTCAAAGTTGGTACAAGCAAAAGTAAGATCACCACCACATGGACCAGTCCATGGTGTACAATTAACTGATGCGCGTTGGTCGCTACTGATTTTAACTGGAATCGATGATCGGTTCGATATTCAGTCACCCAACTGCCGCATGATTTGGCTAGGGCTTAGTGACATTTCACTGGCCCTGAAGTAGTTGACGGTAATTGAATCTACGTAGATCGGCAATTCATATCAGTTGTAAAACCCTTAGCATCAACAGTATCACCTAGGCAGTTGATAGAATTAAGTTGAAACTGATACTACTATGGACTTATGGTCACAATTCTGTCACAAAAAAGTCGAAATAACTTTAAAAGCCGTTCATTATTCAACCTAATATCCTCTGCATGAAGTACAATATGATCCTGATACGATCCAGTACCACCATGAACGGCGATAATCTGATTTGTAACCTTCGAGAATATCTCAGAGAAAACATCTAATCTGAATGGTAGGGATTTGTATCTGAATAGTCCGAACGGTGTATTAATAGCAGTTAGTTTATTCGAGCTTGCATCCCATGGAATTTGCAAATATGCATCTTTCAGGTCCATTTAAAAAAATCACATTGACCCTTGTAATTTATATAGAATATCTCCAGTTTCTTCAGTGGTACGACTGTTGCGACGGCGGAGCACTAATTGTCAAACGGCAATCACCAGAAACTCCAGGCGTTTCTCGATTCTTCCTCAGTGGAGTCACAATGAGATTGACACAAAACGGACGGCTCAACTGAAATTTTCAAACCAATTTAACCGGCTTATCCTTCACATATTCTCTTAAACCATTTCGAATTAGTCTACTATTCGGGAAGATGGGCTCTCCCTTTACTTCTAAGTGTACAAGGTGAATTTTCATAACTTTCACGGCCTTCTAGCATTTAAGACGAGAAAGAAATCTTAGGCATTTCACCCAAGCACACATAAGCAATACTCACTAACTAGGAAAGAAATACTGACAAAAATACTCACTCTCTTTATTGGTTATTTACCCCACTGTTTAATCATTTTTTGTGAAACTATCTTAAGTTTTGATAGATCTTCCAGTATCTTATTACTGAGACTAGTTGTTACATTTTTATGTGTTTTCGTTAGAGCAAGTCTTCGTCATAATCGGGAAATAAAATCTACTTAATACTAGAGTTTAGAGATCAAAAGAATGTGCTGAATACCGTACTGACGTTTGTTTTTCATACTATCAAGCTTCAGTAATCTAATTTCATCTATTTTACTCTTGGTGAATTTAGCTTATAGTGTTCTATTCTACTGTGGTCATTTTGAACTCGATGTTTATTTCATGAATTACTTTCTACTTTATAAGATTCATGTATTTATAATATTTCTGCAAACATTCTGACTAATTTGTATTTTTGATGCTTTCCGATTATGATCAACTTGTAAAAATATTTCTAATTCTTTTGTCAAAACCGAGTTCTCAGGTTTATTGAAGGCTTGGCCATTCATAAACTTACCCCCCCTCCTTTTGTGTACGAAAACAATTTGTCGTAACCTTGAATTTACCCGGTTATCCTCAAGTCGTTTTATGACTTAGGGTAATGCAACAAATTCTTATCCTTTCTATACGATTTAGAAATATTCTCTCCCCTCTGTTACCATTTTTACCCGAGATTTCATTTAATTGACCTTTATTAATTTTTATATAAAATGCTCTAACAAGTATATGTGTGACTAGATTGTTCGAAATGTATAGCGTAAATACATCACACTTTTTTAGATCAACTCCATCTTCAGATTGCACCATCGAAATTATAATTCTCTTGTTTTTGAAACATTCCTTAAATTAAAGCAGATTAACAACGAATTAGGAAACGTCATCCATTTCTTTGAAGATCGGTGTTGCTGTTTGTAGTTTTCTACCAACTTATTCTGACATCGACAAAAAAATTTCAGAAGCAACAGCTGATCATTCCACTTACGTATGGTACTTTTTTAGTGGTGATAGAATTACAGAAAATGTATGCACATCACTATAAATCAACCTCCTTGATTATGAAAAGGCATTTGACAGTGTGGATAGGAGGACGTTATGGAAACTTCCTCGACACTATGTAGTTCCTGAAAAGATTGTCAACATTATCCGGAACTTATACGACGGACTACAGTGTAAGGTCGTGCATGGAGGACAGCTGACAGATGCATTCCAAGTAAAGACCGAAGTCAGATAAGGCTGTCTACTCTCTCCCTTCCTCTTTCTTCTGGTGGTCGAGTGGATTATGAAGACCTTGACATCTGATGGAAAACACGGCATACAATGGACAGCTCAGAATCAATTAAACGATTTGGACTTCGCAGATAACTTAGCTCTCCTATCGCATACATATAAATAAATGCAGATAAAGACAGTCAGTGTAGCAGCAATCCCTGCATCAGTAGGCCTCAGCATACACAAGGGTAAAACCAAGGTCCTCAAATTCAAAGCGGAGAACAGTAATCCAATCACTCTTGATGTCGGAACTCTGGAAGATGTAGAATCCTTCACATACCTGGGAAGCATCATCGATGAACAAGGAGGCTCAGATTCAGACGTAAAGGCAAGGATTGGCAAAGCAAGGGCCGCATTCCCACAACTGAAGAAAACATGGAACTCAAAACAACTTTCAACCAATATCAAAGTCAGAATCTTCAATACCAACGTCAAAGCAGTTCTACTGTATAGAACTGAAACTTGAAGAACTACAACAACCACCATCAAGAAGGTACAAGTATTCATAAATAGCTGTCTTCGCAAGATACTCAACATCCATTGGCCGGATACCATCAGCAACAGCCTTTTGTGGGAGAGAACAAATCAGCTTCCAGCTGAAGAAATTAGGAAAAGACGATGGAAATGGATAGGACATACATTACGCAAATCGTCAAACTGCATCACGAGACAAGCACTAACGTGGAATCCTGAAGGGAAGCGGAAAAAAGGAAGGCTTAAGAACACATTACGTCGGATAATAGAAGCAGATATGAAAAGGATGAATAGGAACAGAAAGGAGCTGGAAAGGATTGCCCAGGACAGGGTTGGATGGAGAATGATGGTGAACGGCCTATGCTCCTTCACGAGGAGTAACAGGCGTGAGTAAGTAAGTAAGTAAGTAAGTATGCACATCACTCACTGGAAAGAAGTTTTCAAAAAATGTGAAAACTAAACAGTGCATTAGTCTTGTTATCGATACTTTTAAATGTATTTGCAAAACTCTGGATGATTCGGTAAAAAAATTCTCCTGTCTATTTGAAATATTTTAAGTGATTTTCTGTAATGATCGATTCTCTTGTTCGATAACATGATAGTGTAGTCACAAAATATAATACAGTAGAACCTCAACGTGAAACTCATCCACCTCTGTTTAGTAGAAAACCGCCATTCACAATATTTCCTGATTTCACCATCTAAAACCATCAGTCCACCTGGATACTATGTACTATCATTTCATAGTAAAAAGAGCATTATAAAATTTCTTATTCAAACTCGACAGTGCATGATAGTCTTAATGAAAACTAAATCCAAATAATTTGATTTTTGGCCAAGTATCATAATTGTTTTGTTTTTATCAAGTAGTGTCGTCTCATTCACGATGCATGTTCATGAGTCATTAGCGAATTACATTTTTAAAAATAATAAGAATAAAGACAATTAAACCAAAATGCAATAAGTTGTATTTTATAGACGATATTTTGTTATCATATAAATCAACACATTTCATGTTTTCCCATTTACGTAAGATGAAATTTACTACTATTGATTTCAGGTAAAAATGTGAACCGCGTCAAACACACCATACGTAAATATGTATAATCAAAAAAGAAATATGAAACACATGATATCTAACAATAATGCCAAATGTACTTTTCGTGAAAGTATGAAAAAACTAGCCATGCTCATGGTGATACTGCTGCAGCTGACAATAATGATGAAGACGATTTGGAGCTCAATAAACGTTACAGAAATGAAAAACAAACATTACATTGTTTTTTAAAAAAGAATTGTGTTTGCTTCATTAGTCTAATCGTTACATAACATCATTTAATTGTGGAAATAAACAGAACAAGTCCGATAGTTTCAGAATGTTTCAAACTGTTGTTTTTACGTTTAATGTTTTAAAAATTAGTTTTTCATAGATTTTTTTCTTCCTTATGTTTCTCATCCAATAGCAAATGAGGGTAGTCATCACCATCTTCAAGTATAAGCTCAAGAAAAGTAAAGTACATTTGAAACAGCAAGACCAATTCAGTTAAGAAACTAGTTTACGGTGTTTTAGCAAAATAATGGAGTGAAATTTTTTTATTTATTTTTCAAATATTAATTATTGTAACAAAAAAAATTCTTAGTAGAAAATTAGTAATCTGTTTAAGGAAAATTTTAAACGAAGGATAATTAAGTGATTACAGTTGAATGTAGGAAGAATTATATAATATAATCTATCAGATAGGGAATCAATTAAATCGAAACTAGTAGAATTGTTATACTATTTTAAACGATTTTCATCTGACTCTCCACTATCATTTATATCCATTCAGATTACAATTAAAGATATGAAGAATGTTTATTTTCTCAAAAACTTACAGAATTATAAAGAAGATGTAGGAAAAACAAATATTACAGAAAAGAAGAAGGCAGCATGAATAAACATCGACATTTGTTTCATATAATAATAAAAGGGAACTATTAAACTATAGTATTGAACAACTTCGACAACATTTTTGACAAACGAAGGAATGCTGAGAATTGTTAGTTATTCTATCTTGATCAATATATTGCGGTAATGACAGTTCGCTAGAGAAAGTGTTCTTGTATGGATAATTCGTACTATTAATATGAACCTCTCTGTCTGTCAAATATTTCAAACTATTTGACTGAATGATCGAGTTAGAATCATTAGAAGAACACATTGATTCATTATGACTACGTTTTTCCATGGTCGTTGTTTGACGATTAGTATATTTACTCTTTAAATCAGTGTCAGGAGTCGATAAAATTGTAATCTCCCGTTGATTGGGGAAATCATTTCTAACTTTCAATTCCTTTATCTGAGAATTACGCTAAATTTGAATTAGAGATGCAAAATATTGATTAAAAGTGATAATCTTGTGACAGTTTTGCATATGTCCACACACACCCACACCCACACAATCAGTCTAATCAATTAATTAATTAACAATTAAAACACTTTATCAGAATAAATACTTCGACATTTAATGAGTGCTTGAAATTCACTAGCAATCCTGTTTCTAAAGTTTCCAGCTGGGTTTTGAAAAAGCGTGATAATAAAAAGCACTTGTTTCCCCATTGAACATATCATGTGTGATTAAATAAAAGTTAGCAGCTGATTATATACACTTCAAATTCAATTCAATTTTAGTTACTCGGATAAAACAGTGCGCGCACGTACATAGTTTTGAGCATACCGAAATAGAGAATATAAGTCATGTCACTTATTTATGCTCATCATCATCATCATCATCATCATCTAGTTTTTGGGTTCCAATGGTATAGCGAATACTTCATGTCACAACTTTAGGGAGTCTTCCTACTTGCTATGTCTTCGCATATTTTCCTTTATTTGCAAGACAACTGTCACCTAGAATCTGCTTAATCTCACAGGAGTCTGTGTAACGTTACAACTCATCATAAAGATATCGAAAAAAGCGTCGGCACTATTGTAACACTTGCAAAATTGAAACATAATATATGTTAAATTTCTGCTGTATAAACCAGATTAATTACCAATAACTAATATTGGACTGATGAATTCTAAATCGTATTGCTTCTCAAATACATTGGTTGGACTGTGTGTGAATATAAATTTAAATAAAGCCAGAACAAATATTGATGCAGAGTAATATGTGTGAATATACTGAAACTCGAGCTGCGACTATGTAATTTGACAAAAAATACAATATATTTTGTCATGTGTATTGTTTTATGAGCTAAAATTCAAATCGGACATACTTACATTAAAGAAATGCATAGTATCTGCATAGATTTCAAGCAAAATATAGGAAAAATAGTTTCTGTTCCCGATATCTGTAACATATTCTGATAGATTAATTATTATTGAGGTAAATTGTGAAACAAAACGCTACTGGGATCGATCAGATATAAACGATGTTGATTTTGTAGGCTATGAATATCAGAATGAATTTGACAAATGAGTTGTTATAAGTTGTAAAATTGAAAGTAATCGTAGTAACCATTTTTTTAAAGCACAGATTACTGAAAAATAATGGATGTACTGAGAATTTACCATTTCAATAGTTGAAATCATGAGTCAATTGATGCTGGAAGCACTGGATGGCCATTTCTTTCTAGTATAGGACTCTCCGAAAGTGCTAAGGAAATTATTTAAAAATCTCCACAAAACCCCTTCTGATATAATCATCTGCTCACTAGTGACTGACTTCAAGAGGCATTTCCTGGAGTTCTAGTGAGAAGCCGTGACTAGTGTAGTTCAACCAGGTCTGTTGTGAGATATCAGCTCACTGAAGACAATGGTGTACGGTGGAGCAATTTCGTGGATTGGTTGAAGTTAGACATTAACATCGTTGGGTGCCGGCTCAGTGGTCTAATGGTTAAGCGATTGCGTACGAGACTGATAGGTCCTGGGTCCGAATCTCGCGGGTGCTGGAATCGTGTATACGCACTGCTGAGGAGTCCCACACTAGGACGAAACGGCCATCCAGTGCTTCCAGGTTTTTCATGGTGGTCTACCTCTAATTGACTCATGATTTCAACTATTGAAATTATTTAAAAAATCTCTACAAAACCCCTTCTGATATTTTACCATTTGTCAATTTTTAGCTCAAAATGTGTCTTTGAATTCGGGACACCAATTATTAGTCGTACTAGAAAGTATATGAAAAAATAATCAGCATCTTTTATTTTGATTTTCTAAGCAAATAATTTCAAACTTAAACTTCAAATACTAACTGACTAAAAGTTTTTATATCTATTACTAAGCGTACAATGTGTTGGGATTTTAAAGCCAGTTTTTTACATTTTAGATGTCTACATAAAATACAAGTACCAAAGTGATAATGAAAACAAATTTTTTAGATCAGTTAATGGAATATAGACCGCAGAAACTGACAAGTGACTTTTCTCAGATTCATTAATGACCAGAATTCCAGTCTATAGTTTTCATTATCTTGCATTTAATGTACTAGAGATACTTTAGTTTTTAGTATTTTCTTATAGACTGAGTAAATAGTTATAAATGTCCATTGACGAACTTACCTTAGTATTATCAACAGAATGTGCGTATTCTTCTGATGTGCATTCATAATCATCTGAATTCAGTGAAATAGAAAAACGTGAATCACGTTTTCTGTCATCAATTTGATTAGATATTAGTGACTTTTGTTTTTTTGGTTTCGGTGAACTAGTTAGATTACTGTTTTTGAAAACGGCAGAAGTGTGCAAAATATTTCTATCGTCTGTAATAATGTCGAAATTTTCATGTCGGGTTTGGTCATCTTTTTCGTAACCAGATGGTACATCAGTTAAACATATTGAAGATGAGTAAGCTAACTGAGCTTCTTCTTTCGCTTCACGTCTTGATAAATTTGACTTATCTCTGAGTGAGCTCCGATGAATTAAAGATCCACTAAGAAGAAACACAAGAACTTCAATTTAGTAGAGAATCTGATGAATTACAAAGAAATGAAGTTGAAGAAAAAAGTCAGTGAATACTTCATTTGAGTAGCTCTGTTAATTAACTTATTAAGATTCTGAATTCCAAAACGTACCATTAATATATTGATAAATCTTTTCATTTTGAAGCTTTTATGCGGTAATGTACTTAAACAAATAGCAATCTGAATATTATTGACTGATTATGCAACATGATATATCTTAACTAAAATGGATTAAAAATGAGCATTCGATAATATACATCATTTTTAACCAAGAGAGAAACCAAAGAGACCAACAACTATGGGACCTACTTTAACTCTAATGCAAAAGAATACCATCTTTGAACTGTCACACATGACAGTGTCTGTTTAGGGGTGTTTACTGCCATGATTCTCACACAGCCATTATATTATGAACAAATACGGATACGGTCATCTTTTCATATGCAAAAGCTGATCTCCTTTGTTTTTTGACTAACTTAAGATATGGAGATCTAATGTTTTTCTTAGTTATGATTTGAATACCTTTAATGATTATTCACACTTTGTACTGTTTAAAAGTACAATAGTGTCCCAGGATTGGTTTATCAACAAAACTTAAAGAAAATGATGTAAAGTGATTAAGGTCACTGGTCAGTTTAATTATTCATAGTTATATAAGCCTGGATTAACCAGGGTCAACAAAACCTATAGAAAACTGAAAAATAATTTGCGATTCATCAACCTGCGTCATTTATGACAAAGAAAAATATTAAGACGTCTACCAAAGTCAATATATACCACCAAGCAGTTTGTTCTAGAGAAGTTTATGGTTATTCATGTATACGGAGTGATTCAATGAACCACGGGTTTCATACGAGTAACTTCTGGCTAGTGAAGTGTTGAGCCACCAACTGGTTATGTATACAAATTCACCTATGCAGTTGAGATTTATAGATATTGCTTTTTAAGTTACTGGAGTCACACTCGTCTTGTTTTCTTTAGATTCCTTACATTTGTCAATATTTTATTCAGTCAATTAAATATATTTACACCTTTGCTATACTATATTGATGTATCTTCTAAGTAACTTCTAACTATATTCTTTCATGATAGTAATTTAAACCTATTTTGTAATTATGATCACTAGATAACACAGGTTGTAAACAACTGACGAGAACTAAACGAAATAAAGTGAATTTATGCTATTCTGCTCAAATTTTTGTCCTTGATCTCTTTGAAATGATAAAGAAAACTACGTGTTTGAAGTTTAATGAAGATCTAATTGTCCTGTAGTTACTTCGACGGCCTTGATAACGAAGGGTTTTCTCGTTTTTAGGTTTAACGTTAATAATTTTTGTAAAACTTAAGTTATATTGTGGTTAATTTATGTGACACGAGTCATAAGAAAGGCTGACTGAAGTCTTAAAAACTAGTTCAGCTTAAAGTTTTGGTTTCCTTCAAGTGTTAGGGTACAATCAGCCTATCGATGAAACTGTAAAACTATCAATATGGTTAATTAAAAAACTTCAGTAAAAAAGTAAATACCTTCTTCTGCGTCGAAAGGGTTTGGCAGAAGCATTTGAATCCATTAATTTGGCACATGATCTAAGTTTTTCTCTTATATTCCATATCGCGCAGACTTCATCATGAGTTTCGTCATTATCACATATTGCTAGAATATAATAAACGAAAATCGGAGTGATCCGATATCATGACTAAGAAGTCCTTTGTTCTAATAATGATTATTAATGAGTACAATCTGTTAAGTTTTATGAAGAGTAATTAGACGATATTATAATAACAGCCATATGCTTCCAAAGATATGACTCTTTTCTTTAATAAAGTGTTTATAAACTTTTGATTTAAAATCATGGCGTTTATGTGGCATGAATAGAAGTTGGAAAAACTGACGCTATCTAAATTAATTGATATTTCTAATTTACAAAGTTAAATTTATAAAGTTTACAAAAGGTAGTTTATCCGTAAAAAGAAATCACTTGTGAAGTCTATTTCGTTGTAATAAAGGATATCAGTTACTGTACTGCTAATAAAATCGTAATGCATGTTACTGCAGAAATCGAACAAAGAGGAGTTTATCAAGCAGTCCGTGAAAATAGTAGTAACAGTTTAAATTAGCTACATTGTTACCAATACTTTCTGTGATTCCACAACACTAATTTCATAGTAAAATGTAAATATGCCAACCCGTTCAACATTCTATATCTCTCCAGTAGAAACAAAGGTTGAAAAACAATGAAGAAAACTTTCTAAAATATAAGCACTTGCGTCTGCACTTCTAATATAACAATAGGATTCTCTCACTAAATGTTATTAGTGAATGAATTGAATCGATGGTTTTGTCAGCATGTAAATTATCTTTGAAAAAATTAATGGAGAAACAGATATCCAGATTTGTCAAATAAGAAATACATTATCATGATGAGACGAAAATCATCATGTTAGTGAACGAACTTTTTTCAGCAGAATGGCTTTACAAAAGAAAATTTACAAAATAGATTGTTTATATACAAAGGAGTGTACAATCAAAGCATGACCAGAGTTATAGTCATTCATTCCTTGTACAGCACAGTTTGATTTTCTGATACAGTTAAAAACGGGTGTGCAGAAATATTTTTTAGTCTTTATTATCTTACTGAATTTACTGAAATATCAAGAGCTAGTTCAATGTGTAAATAATTACAAGTGTTACCATGACTTTCAAAGTAATTAGTATAAAATACCGTCTTAGTTCATTTAATTTAGTTAACCTCAGTCAAACTAATCTAAGTTAGAATTTGATCTAAAGACAGTCTATAACTTTACAGAGTTCTAGTTATTATATTGAGAATTATGCCATGCTATTGCAATTTTCTCAACTCGTTGAGTTAAACAGAATGTATTCATTTCCCATAACATTCACTATTTATTTCTACATTCTTAGTTTTATTTTGTACTTTTGTGAGACTTTTCTTTAAACAGATAATTTCCTTTTTTTAATTATAACCTTTAAGTAATCACTGCATAGGTTTTTCTCACAAACCTTTGAATTTTCACTAGATCTTTGCATATCATAAACATTTTCAATAAAAAGTATGTGGATCTCGAATTTTTGATGAAAAAAAATGTTGGTAGGTACATGTTGTATGAAATGCATTAACTTTATACTGTTAAATAGATGTGGTATTTATGTAGTCTGTGTCAATAAACACGCGAACTGAGCTGAAATATTGTAGGGCACAGAAAAGTAATTCCATTCCGTATTCGTGACAGCGTTCTTATCCAACCTCATTCTTCACAAGCAAAATATTAATGGAAATCCTTAGAAATTAGTTCTCACAAACTTCTTCATAGTTTCAGGCTTTATCTGTTAACAGTCACCATTTACTGCATCCTTACACACAACTGTCATTTTGGGGAATCACTGTGGTCAGTAAAGTGGGTCATGTAATGTTATTCTCAAGAAACTAGAAGATAACTACTATTGAATGTTCATGTCTAACTCAGTTAAGATTAGGACTTCACAAATAGTAGATTAAAAGGATATGAGTGGCTGTACCTCTTAGAAAATGACTTGAAAACAGGTCTATAAATAAAATGGTTTCATTTCTACTGAAATAAAATGTTACTGTCAGCGTAATGCTAACATATTGCTACCGGAGCCCCAATAGTTATTTCCGAAAAACATTAAAAGCTATATAAAGCAATGAGGTAAGACCATCACTGGTTAACTCGAATAATTCCCGACAATTACTTGACATACGTCACTCACAATTTATCTGCAAAACATTTTTCCAGTTTCAATGAATGAATGATATGGTAAGCCTTAAAATTTCGCCATCATTCCAGCTATCACAAATGATTCTCGAAAATCAGTCTCCAGTTTTCCTGATTAATTACTGGTTTCATGCAATTCGTTCCCTTTATGAATTTAAATAAAGCCGTAACAAATATTGGTGCAGAATAGTATGAATTCATACTATTTCGAGGTTTCTCGTCAGCTGCTTACAAACCAAAAATGTTACAGAATTTTTACATTGAGATAGAGTGAAAACAATTGACATAGATGAGTGTAAATAGCTGAGTTACAATAATAACTATAAATATGCATATATGCTAGGAGAGGTCAGAGGTCAAAAGGAATTAATTCGGGTTGAGTGGTGTAATAATGGAATTGAATAATCATCAGATAGTTTACGTAATAATAATTAAATAGAATTTGAAAAGTTAAGATAATTTAAGATTGGTGTTTATGTAAATACGATTAGGTTCAGAGTCTTTATTTTATTCTCAAGATGTAAAATCCATCCACTTAGTATAATAAAAAAAATCAGTCTTTAATAAGTAGAAACAATTAGTAAACTCACTGAATGCTGTTCTACCATCTGGCGTTGGTATAGTAAGATCACCTCCATGGGACACAAGTATCCTGACCATTTCCAACTACAAATATAAGTAAACTGAACTAAGTATGTCTGACAAAAAATAAAAGCAAAACAATTCCTCAATATGTTCCCTATGCGAATTTGACACAGATATATTTAATTTCAATATTGTTTCGATCAGTGAACATTTTACAATTTCTACAACTGTTTTATACTTTTTTTAAATCTTGTAGTTTCGTCTGACATCCATATTTTACTTTCGTCAAACCATTTTATTCCTTAGAACATTCCTCGCAACACTTATCAAAATTATCTCATACTGTCTGTTGTGTATTCATCACTGAACAACAGAAATATATTTTTTGATTCCGTGCTTACAGAAATGTTAAGAAACTGAAAAAATGAAATCATGAAATTTGGAGTTTGATAGATCGACCCAGCAGTTGATTTTGCACTAAATAGAACAACTCGTTCAAACGTTGGTAAAATCCACTATAAATAATTTATTTTTAACTGAAAGGACACAGCATCCTACCAAATATATATTTGTTTGCCTTACACTGTTCATCAGAGGCCAGTTGAAATAACGAGTATTGTTCTGTTTTCGAATAACATTGAAACTCTTAAGTGAAGTTCTTCAGAGTACTATCAATCAGAAAATAGCGTGGTATTAAAACTCCACCACTACAGTTTACTTTGGTTCAGTCTACCATGGGGCGTATATACCACTTAAAGCACTTATAAAACCGATATATCAAGTTTATTGGATTTACAATTTTGTCAACATTTCTTTTTTGTAAATCACATTTCAAGAAGCTCTGTTTCCGTTTATGGTTGACGTCCACACTTTTCCATAGTCTAAGATTTTATGATCCAGTCCCTAAACAGACGAAAACTGCCTAGAAACGTAGAATGGACTAGTGTCATCATCCTGAGGATAGAGTAAATGATTTTTGGTGACCTCTACAAAATCTGAGATCATTTCAGATTTTAGCTCGATGACGAATTCCTAAGCCTTCTTCAGATGATTAGAAGTAAGCTAAAAAGCAACCAAACTTATAAACTTCGCTCCATAAATTTCTAAAAATACAAAATATGATTTTTTTAAGCTCAACAAAGCAAGTGACAAATAAAATTATTCATGATTTTGAAATATAGGTAAGCTGGTCAAATTTGTAAGATAGTGTTTCATTACTTCAGAATACATCACACATAGGATTTTATATTTGAATGTAATATTCTCCTACATTACACAAAGCCCCGGTTGTGTTCAAGGGTGAGAAGCCTCTGCCTCTGAGCACGTGATCTAGTAAGGTTAACCCATGAAAATCATTCAAACTTATTTTACTAATTGGCACAAGAAAGTGTGAAACATTTCATTGTTTTTTTATTGATGGACTTAGTACCTCTGTAAAAAAACTTACTTAATCATTTGCATAGTTATTTGCCCGGAAAAGTAAAGCACCAGATCAAAAATAACAGAAATGGAAATCTAGGTCATTAGATGAGGCATTGCAGATAAAAAACCTTTTCAACCTTTTCCTTTAAGTAAACAGTTATGACATCAAAGTCTTCTTCTTAGTACGCAGACATAAATGGTAATCAGTACTTGCTAGTGAACTGACAGTGTATAAGTTAATAGTATTTTGGGCAACTCAGATGTATTTGATGGATTGAATGAAACACTTATAGTCGGAATACCGAAATTGAGCCAAGTGAAATGATTTCGTGAATAAATGATGAAGTAAGATAAGGCTAATCTAAGACACTGAGAATCGCTAGTAATATATATATATATAGTGTGATTAATCCCAATAAGAAGCCACAAAACGCATCAGATTCTTTCCGGTTATGGAATTTTTACAACTGCTTCTGTGTTTTGTCACAATAAAATATTCTTTCAACAAACAATTCAGTAGGTAATGACTCACGTGGTATGAAAATGCTCCACAAAACTGGTCAAATCCCTAAGCATTGTGCCAACACATTCATACTTGAAGTTCTTAGCTTATAAATAGCAAAATAAACTATGACTGACATCGGTGTAGGTATTACATTTCAATGGAAAGGTTACGTTGAGTTTTGGGGGGAAATTATATAGAGTTAATTAAAAACACCTATTTCATACTTTTATAGAAAGTCTCGACATTGAAATTTCACTTCACCCTTAATGTTCATTTCTTAGTTTTTCTTTACAACCTAATTTCAGAAGAAATACTGGAAGTGGAACTGGAATGGTTTATTTATCATACGTTATTATTATTACAGTTCAGCTAGGCAAAACATGTGACTTGATTTTTTTCAGAATAAGTAGTTAACAAGATCTAAATAAAGTTTAAAAATACTTCATGGAGGGGTTTTTAACTCCAATGTTAGGTTATCACGCTTATGACGTAATTTAAACACAATTTATGGATTTAGTATTTGTCTTCTAATTATCCAGACAATAATTTGTATCACAGAGATGTTATATAGTCACTTGACATTTGAGACATACTGATAATCTTTCGAAAACAAACTCCTAATATATTACCGGTAATGAATTGTAACAGAAAAAAAATTAAATTTGATGGTTTAAAAGAAGAACTGAGTTGTAAGTTGTGAAAGAATACCATAGAAAATATTATTTTATTATAAGGTGCGCTGTAGAAGTTCTTTTTCAACGCACTTATATCCAACCTTTCTTTTAGTCATCATTTTTAAGTTGATTATAAAGCTGCACTGAAAGTATTACTTAAAATGACTTCAATATCTTTATCCTAGAGGCACAAGTATAATAAAACTATGATGACCTGGAATGAAACATTCCCAGAAAACGATTGTCAGAAAAGATAACTTACTTCACCCCAGCAAGCAGCAACATGAGAAGGTGTCCATCCATCCGCGTCTAAACTGTTAGGATCTACACCAGAGTGGAGTAAAAAGAGGCCAACCTCACAATATCCACAAGATGCAGCAATATGAATCTAAAAATATACAGAACGTTTCTTAAATTAACACTGTTTTGGTAATTTTTATGGAACTACGCATATTTTTGTTTGATCACGAACATGGGATTAATGTATGAAGTCAGATAAATTACCGATTAATATGTACTTTTTTTCCTTTGAGTAGGTACGGTTTGCAAATTTAAGTCTAACATTAAGGTCGAGTAATCCAGCTTCTAGATGAACAGAAAATTCGGAAGAGACACCGAAGTTGAATTGCATTGAGGAAATCATCGAACTGCACCACAGAGTAAGGTGTAACTTGGAATTCTCAGGGCAAACGAAAAATAGACAGACCGAAAACCATATTGTGTCGAGAATTAGAGACAGACATCAAAATAATGTGTAGCGGTTGGTAACACCTGGAATGGAGAGACAGGGATGGAGTTAGTTGGAGGATTTTGGTCGGTGGCCTCTGCTCCACGATAGTTTAGAGGAGTAAGTTGGTAAGTAAACGTTAAGGTTGAATATTTATTTATAGAGGGTGTTATGAAAAGCTGGCAGTGGAAATAAATATAAATTCAGATATTCTGTTCACCGGTACTGTTTCATATTTCTTCTTGAATGGGTGAAAAATCATAACTAATTGTCAAGCTTATTTTCTTCGAGAAAACTAGTTTATTGTTTATTAACCCACGCAGTAAAAATAAAGACAAATTAACATAAGGCAAGTTTACATCAATATCTGCAATCAAACTAGATTTGTTTACCGGAAAAATAAATTGTTTTCAGTTTTATAAGCGTGAAAAAGTTTACGAACACTGCTTTCGAATTACTTAGTTGTTTTCAGTTTTTGAGTACTTCAGATTAGTTAAGCGGAAAGATGACTGTTTGAAAAGATGTATGGCGCTTAATTCATTAAATTTTAAGCTACAGTAAATTTCTTAACAATCCATCATCAGAAAGAAACTAAAAATATTTTATAAAATTTCTTCGTGAGATGAAGTAAAAATAATGATCCAAAAAGATTATTGATATCACAGTAGCTAGACAATGGGAGACCTATTTAACTACATTATTTCGGCAAATGAAAGAATCTACAAATCGATGAAGTTAAAAGAATCCATATGAATGATAAATTTTAATGTGGTCTATTTATTTAAGGTCTAACCTTGTAAACAATTATTGTATTACTTTTACTTAATAAGATGTTGGCGGTTTACTATTCCTAGTTTAGTGAAATTATGGAAAATAATAACCGTCTAGAAGGTTTCGACCATAAGTTCTATCATACAAAACAAATCCAAAAAAAGACTAAACGTTTTTAAGAGCTACATAGAGTTTATTTCTCGGGAGTTAAAACTAGTAACCAATCGGTGAACTGTTATCAATAAAGGAACTCCGATTTATTCAAATAAATTATATAAATTAAAACTAAAATTTCTTCTAACATTCTAGTTATATATATTTATCAGATTTTTGTAGAGTTTTGTCAGTTGAGCTGGTTGGTTTCATTGTGGAACTTTCATCAGTTTTTTAAGAGAAAGATGAACTAGTTAATTTTATTTTAATATCTTGCTTTCATTAAAGTTTATGACATATTGTTTAAATAGCTGTACATATTTTATGGTTTTTCTGATACTCTTGGACTAATATTAATTTGAATTAAGCGTGCACAAAAATTTACTTCGTATATTTCAAACCTTGAATTTAAACCCAATATTTTGTAGTTTGGAATTCATATATCTTAAGTGGTCAATCTGCCTTATGTAAACAGAATTTGCCCATTCAAATAAATGTGCAACTGTAACTTATTTTAGTACGGTAAACTTGGTTAGAAGCAAATATTTATTTTATCTAAGTGACTTAAAGAATCTTTCCTAATATTCTTAGCTTATTACTAACAGATGGGATTTGGTGCTGGGACAAAACAGGTAGAAAGAAATTCAAATGTAGCCAAAGCAAGATGTGTCATAAAAATTCGACATGAGCAGCATACGTGAACTACTTGGGTGGGTGCCACATAAAAGTCATAGATTATGTTTGTAGACGTTGAGTGCCATGGCTTACTTATGTTTTATCTTTATGCATTTTCTTTGTTGTCACTCCATACATCTCAGTCTTTGATTTCATTCCATTCTTTTAAATTATACTTTTTATTGTTTAACTTTTCACAAAAATAGACAGTTTTGTGATTTTATGTGATTTTCGTCTTGATTAAAGTTATAATTTATGAATTGCTTATAATCATTTGATACATTTCACAAAAACGTGTTAAGTAAAAGAAAATGAAGTTTTTGGTTTTGGTCATAATTAACCTGTATACAAACTTGGTAGATAAGATAGTTTTTGAGCATATGATACTATTAATAATAGCTTTAAGTGGACCATACAATTTACAGTTTAAATTCGTCTATTCCTATGAAGCTTAAATAAATTGAGTTTATTTGCACTTCGTTTAAGATAAATAATAATCAGTAAGTAAACGAAATTTATTCAGCTTTATATACATAAATATTCCACAATAAGTGAAATATTTTTATGTTTCTTTGTGTCATGAAACATTCGATTGCTGATAGAATAAAGCAAATAGCTTGCAACTTTGAAGCTTTATACATTTTTTTTGTAATCAAGTAAACGTGGGCTGGTAATGCACTATACAATATGCTAACCGGTAATCTATACTAGGTGAATATAAAACCAACTGGTACTAGTTTTATGAAACTAAGCGAATAAAATAAAACTACTAAATAAAGAAGCAAGCTCCAGCCTGAATGTCATGAATTAATCAGTGATAATTGTATTTTTGCTTCTCCTTTGTTGAGTTAAACGGATCGATTAGACTTCAACTATAGAAATCATTTATTGTACCTCATGTATTAATAAATTAAATATTTATGTGTTTGTTTTTCAGTGGTTAATCAGTTTGTAACTGAAACCTATTATTTTAATATATGACAAAAAGAACATAGAATATGAGTGACATAAACAATACTTAGTATACGATTTTTTTGACGATTTTTGTGCCGTTCAAAGTGAAATCTCTAAGTAAATATTTGCAGCTATGTTAGAGATCATGATTCTATGACTTCTACATGGTGCAAATGAACGATTAGGCAAGAAACATTTTATATTTTATTCTGAGTTCTAAGACTTTACTAAATTATTGGAGATCATTGACAAACACCAAATATCTCAGGAAAATACATTGTGCGGTGTAGATAAAAACATTTTCGATTCAATCACTATCATATAAATAAATTCAGAAAGGCCATCTAAAGGAATCAAATTAATTTACGTGCGTTGGAGATGTATTACGTCAGTAAGAGATATAGGTATCGTACATTGATTGACGACCGTGCAGTGTTACATTAGATAAGTTACTGTTCTTAATTACTCATACGGTTCACTGTAAAACTGAATGAAATGATATTGTTCGGACAGACATGATCAACAAGTGTATGGGTAGAACAAATTATGGTTAATAATAGAACACTTACTGGAGCAGCACCTTGTATGTCTAGTATGTTTAAATTGTATCCTTTTGAACGCGCTGCTTTGAGATCTGAGAGCATTTGCATTTCTGGTGCAGCACGGGCTTCTTCGATATCTTTAGGTGTTATACCTAGATAAATGAATCCAAAATATATGTATAAGCATAAGATATTTTAAATCACGTTAGATATTTTCAATCAATTCTGAACAAAACAAGCGCAAATGATATACTTATAAATGAACGACTTTGTGTAGGAATTATAACCTCTGAAATGTCATCCGAGAGCTAAAAGTTTTAATAAGTTATAAATCAATACGAAAACAAAAACTTCTTGTCACTATTATTTACTTTTGTTATTAAAGTTGTAAAAGCGAATAAAGGTTGTATACACGTAATGACTTCGGTTAGGTAACTAATGATAGCCAGAATGAATCAGATGACTGTTTCGTCTTGATATACGATGCATCAATTGTTCATATCCACTACTCAACCAAGTTCATCAGATTACTTTTTTACAGATCTTTTTCTGCAATGATTGTTTTCAAATAGTCCATTTTATTCAAATGACCACTAAGACTGATAAAACAACACTAATCACAGTCTTTCTCGAATAAACATTTACCTGCGCACCTTTCAGAAATGTTTAGATTATCAATAAAACAATTTTAATCAAAAGAGACCTTTCGAACTGTGTATCTTTTGCTTCCCCTTACCAGAAACATACTCATAAACTGATCTAAAAATGGTTGTTAACATAATGTGTCATGAATGCCAAGGTTGAACCTGATAGTTTCAAACAAATTGAGCATTGGGTATAAAGTTAATAATAAATATTTTTTCGTATATCTCAATGTGTAGAAAATTTCACGAAACTTCAGAAATACAGCTTTCTACTCATTGGTATATAACGGAAAATACATTTATTATAATTCATCATCGTTTCATTTTTTCCTATCTTAGAAGAACCAACATCAGTTACTGAACGTCTCGGGTGTGGCCAGCAAAAGATATTGATTCACGTTATTTGTAGCTTTGATGACTGTGTTATTAATTCAAACAAGTATCGTTCTACTTCATGTCAAATATATTCAACAAATCCCATCAAATTATTGCCCACTAATTCATAAGAAGATTCAAGTTGGGCATCGCCTGTGTTAAAATTAAAAATATGACTGTTAGTGAATGAATTCAATCCGTCAGTTTTCTACAAAAATGTTGGAAGTCATCAGTAGTATGAATAAATGTATTTATTCCACACTTATAGGAAAGGTGAAGTAAGTAAAGCGCAAAGATTCGAACCATTCAGTTCTCTCATAATAATCAGAATAGTTTATTTTAGTAAGATACATTTTATACCGTAAATAAATACATTAAGACAGGTAGACAACAATTCTTTATTAGATACCAGGCTTTAATTTAATTAATTTGTACATCCGTTCTTTATGATTTACAAGCAAGCACCACAATTATGATTTAGACTTCCATATCATGAATTTAAAAGATCTGCGAAGGTAAGTATGTTTTTTGTTGATACAGTTGAAGATGAAGGTAAGTTCTATCTTGACAATTCGTATAGCCATTTATTAAGCGCTAATCAGGGGATTGTGAGTTGTTTAAAGCACTTCTTTAATTTCTTTTTCACTTGTCTGCGGTACATGTCTTCAGGTTTAAAAGTCAAGTGATTAGTACACATCTACCGAGTGTGTATTCTTTCATCCATATACAAGAATTTCATTCTAAGTATTTTTGGTCATGATGTACTTGAGACACTTTCAAGTTAAAATATATTCTTTCAGAATATCAGCCATAGTCACATTACCCTTGATGCTGTTTAATGTTTTTATTTGTTTTATAATATCTTTCGTTTTTATTGAAATTTATCAATAGCTAATCACATGCCTAATGAGGCACTATAACGCGACCTAGTTGATTTTTTAGACATAAAGGTATTGTAATTCCCATATGAATTTCATTCATATTTTCCGATGAAAACATAGAAATTTATTTACTATTTAAACCGGAAAAATGAAAATATTGCTCCCAATTTGACATTTAATAAAATATTATCAGGCCATCTGTGTTACATTAAACGATTTCTAATTACATTCAAATAAATAAAGCTTATGACGTAAATATAGATTATTATTGTTATTATAACATTTGCTTTCTACTGAAAATTGACGAAATTTGGATATGTGAACTACTGGATTGTTATATTAAAGTCGAAATTGTCAACCGTATGTATGGTAGTGAATAGGCACAATCGACGAATCACATTCTGTAACGAATGAAGTGTTCAGTTGTTGTTCGTCTTTAAAGTCTATTCAATTGATGTCGGTCCATGAGTGTTAATATTATCACTAGCCTCATAAGGTTATAACAGCTATAATGAATTACATTCTCTGACACATCAATGAATAACTAACTGTTTGAATTATTAAGGTAACACATGGAATTCTTTACATTCATATTGTGTCAGGTATAAAATTTGTTTAATTTCACCTTAATGATTTAAGATTCAACTAACAGAACAGAACGGATATTGACCATATTATATCCATTATATTGGCTTTAATCCTGTTAAGAAATAAATAGTTACTTGACAATCAGGATGTTCAGTAATGGAGAAGCATCGAACATGTAAAGTGATATTAAACATTAATAAAAAATCAACTTTGACGTGGAATGCTTGTTTCATATTTTTATGCTAAATACTTGTTATTCATAAAGTCATAGAACAAATGATAACATAACTAGAATTTCACTTAGAAGATCTTAATCGCTAAGATTTTCAGATGTTTCTCAATAATGTAATACAACAAAGTTAAATAATAAACAATTAGCAGTCTAATTACTGATTCATTCATTCTAAATTAAAAAAAAATTTAATAGATTTCAAAAATAACAGATTTAAGTGTAGATTATCCAGATGATTACCAACTAGTAGCTATACAGCTAATTAATTGTTTTTATTGACAACGGCAACTTCACACAAAACTATATTTTCAAAAATAAAACACTGGACATTTCTTTGAATATCTTCATAGAAATGAGAGCATGTAAGTTTCAAATTGAAAGATAACGTATGGTTTTCTGCATTACAAATTATACAATGACTGACTTTTAGACAGAGGTTTCTTTTAGTAGACTGGCACCAACGAAACTGAACAACAGAATAAATAAAGCATTAATTTACAAATGTAAATTGTATATAAAACACATGCGGTCTTTATTTTTGTACAAGTCAACAAAAATAAGTCTTTACTTTTTTAAGATGATACTAGAGTGATGATTTTTCTCAGCCTCAATACGAGAATCATGTGAGATTGTCTTGAATATCTCAAATATTTTAAATTTACGCACTAAGAATGTTTAAACCTATCCAAAGTTGCTCACGACAGTCTTAAATCCCGAATCATTGTTTTAAGAGTCTTTCCACCATCATAATCTGATTTTATCATTAGCTGGATTCAAATATTTGTAATTCATCAAGCTACCTATAGCCCATTTTCTCCTTAACTGATTGTCGTAAATGTGAAAAGTCAGGGAAGTTAATCTATAAGTTTTAAAATGTAGTTTTGCATTATTAATTCCAGATGTCTTGCATATTAAAACTTACACTCTGAATGTAATCTTGACCCATTTGTATGAATTTTGATTAGCTTACAAGAGTAAAGTGGTTGGTAGAAGAAGCTCCTATACTTTCATAAAATGTGAAAAATACGGTGTTTTAAATAACCAGACTTCTAAAACTATTTATCTTCAGTTACATCATTTTGAGTTTGCATTTGTAGACGTCGTTACTCATCATATGTCATGACTATCAATTTATTTATCTAATAAATTCAGCTATTTAAAGAGATTTTCAGAAGCCTTTGTAGCAATCTACAGAGTCGTATAATAAAATGAAACTTTTCAGAGTTGAACCACCTGAATTATAGTGTCACTGGTAACTTTAATAGAGGGATCAATTATTATCTATTTGTAAACCAATTTTATTTAATTATGGGGCAAGGGCATACATATAGTTACTATACATTATATGTAACACATTCTGATGCTTATGTATGAAAAAAAGTTTATAAAACTGAAATCTCATTGTAAGAAAAGAGGAATTGTAAAATGATAATCATCAATGTAAAGAAATTCACCATGATGACGTGAATCAATGTTGAGAATGGAACTCTGACAAGTTCCTATGAGTACTATCCAAGTACTAAAACTATTTTAATATCATTAAATGATAAAAACCAGCTATTTCATACGTAACAAATATTACAGATTTCTCAAAACGCCTGAAAGCAACTATGAAAGTTCCGTTTTATGATGATAAATATTTATAAGCTTAGATTCAGTTACTATGGACCATTATAATCTTTTATTATGCCAAGAATTACATGTTTCTAGTCCTTAACACTATTGCTAAGCCTTGATATTAGTTTTTGCTTGACTACTTCTTGGTTAATAAACTTTATATATTTCTGCACATGAATTCACAGGCTTAATGTCAAGATAAATTATTCTACATTGGAGATATATTTCATGATCAGTCATTTTTCATAACCACAAGATTCAGTAATAATCCATTATTTAACAAAAGAAATGATGCAAATAAAAATGCTTTAATTAGAATCCAGAGTGTAAGCGTATTCGTCAACTTTATCTATTTTAACTTCATTACACTGAAAAAACATACTTCAGTGTTTTCAAGGCGAAATTCATTACTTAATATCATCAAGACGTGATAACATGCTTTTTAATTTGCACTGTAAAAATAAATGTTTATCTCGAAATTCTTTATTTTATTGTAATTTTTTAGCAAAATATTTCATCTTTGACTAAAATTATTTATGAAACCTCGGTACGAATACATTACTGTATAAAGTGAATTATGAACCATTTTAAAACGTTTGATTGATAATAGGCTATGAAACGTTTATTTTTTAAATCATGATATCGCCTCATTCAGGTCTCTAAAAAACCGGCAAAAGCTTAATACTCAATTTGTTCCTACGTAAGTTAAAATATCACTGTGTTCAATTTAGACCTCATTAAGATGACGAAATAAAAAGCTTTTCGTTTGCTGTGTAGTACATTTTTCAGTAAAGAGCTAAAAGATATTTCAAATT